TAATTTTTTCTGTGACTTGGCCACTTAATATCCATCCAAATATTGTGTTTTGGGCTAACAATTTATTAGAGATTTTTTCTATACCTTCAAGAATTGTTTGAGGTATTAAGTCGCTGCCCAATAATATGTCGATTTGTGATGGGGTATGGCAGTTGGGATCTGCTAATTTGAGATATGAGCATTTTTCCCACTGTTATTTTATTTACTTCATAGCTTGGAAGCAAATTAGTGAGCTGCGGTAGAACAATGGCTTGTGCATCTATTTGTATATCCGCGTTTGGAGAGACTATGGTGATTGGGCAAACTTTATTTGAATTTTGTATAATTCTTCCGCCCATTCCCGAAATTTGAAAACCAGAATTTTTGACTGGCAATTTTAGCCGATTCTGAGCTTTTGATGATATAAAGGATCTTTGAGAGCCTTGATCTATTAATGCTCTTAATTTGAATAAATCTCCTTTATGTTCTATAGCAATGACCGCTGTGGGTAAAAGAATTTTGCTTTCATTCTCTGAATGAAGCGCTTGAACTTTTGCTGCTTTTGAGCAACATGGGTGTTCCTTTTTATTTTCGGGATTCGGGATTTCGGGATTACCTGATTTGGTTGTCGCGACTAGGCCCGTGGTTTTATGTATATGATTTTGCTTCATATTTGTAAAATTGGTTATGTGAAGCAATGAGTGATGTCGTCGTTGACAGTACACTCAACTGAATTTGCTTTCACAGTCTTTTGTCCCGTGAGAATTGGACAGACAGTTGATGCAAAGTTTATGTTGTCGGACAAGATTATTTCTATCTGAAACGGACATTTTTTTAAATTTCTTGGCTGGTTTCTTGTTGAGTTTTTGGTACATTCATTAAAATAGTTATTTGGTTATCTACCAATACTCTTTCGTTTTCGTATCTTTCGACCAGTGCAACCCAAGCCAGATTAAAATTTTCGTCATTCAAAGCGAAACGCTTGACAATACTGTCTGCTTCCCCTTTTGTTTTGTACCTGAGATGGTACAGCTTTTGTGCTCGTGAAAGTTTAGGATGGTTGATAACAACGGCAGTGAACATGTCCCGGAAGGACGGCCATTGATCACAACCTCCATCAGTATCACAAGCTGATACTTTTAAAAATATACCTGTATCTAGGTTTTCTTTTGGATTTGTAACTACTCTCGGAGGAGGAGTAGTGACTCTACATGGCCTTAATAAATTTATTTGGTCTAATATCATTGCCTTCGTAGTTTCGTACTGATCGAGGCAGTTTTCATATTTGGCTGATGCCGAAGCTTTAATGTTTTCTGAGAGTTCAGCGTCGTCAATGTCTAATATTGTATCGTACGCTGTCAGAACGCGTGCCCATATATAATATTATATATGCTTTGAATTTTTAAATTTAGGACTGATTCTGTGTTGTCGTTAATAGGCCGAAAACCGTGTGCAGTATCTAATAAATATCAGTATGTCACTTTCAGTTATGAACCTTGACAGTGAATTGTCTTTGGTTCTTTTTTGTTTTGCACCCTGCTTTGAGCGTGTAGCTTTTGCGGGTGTGCCTTGTGCTTTATCATCATCAGCCATTTTTGGAATTTCTAATGATAGAGGTGTTCGTGGTTCCTCTTTTGATTTATCAGATTGCATTTATAACTCTTTGAATTAAATTGAAAGCTATTAGCTAGCTATTAAAATAGTTTTGTATTAAATATTTGCTATAATACGGTTGTAGTAAAAAATTTTAGTTTGCTGCCCAAAGCTGTAGTTAAAAAAATTTTTTTTTTGTTGAAACTGATTGTAAAATTAGTCTGTTATAATTTTTTTTTTTTTTTTTTGTTTTTTATCGGACAAGTCAATTTAGATTTTATTAAAATGTATGTCCGTATTATTATTATCTTAAAAATTGCCGAAATTGCTTACTGGGTATTCGTTTCACTCGCGAATAATTTATATATTTTGTATGTATGTATATTCGTTTTTGTAACTATATACATTTGTTTAAAAGGAACGCGAAAATAAAATTGTTCTTAACAACAAATGTGTATATATCTGCATACCTATGTATGTTAATTTTAATTTTCATATGTTTGTATATGCTAAACCTTTTGACCGTATACTTTTTAGTTATATTGGCATGTGTACATATACATATATGTATATGCATACATGTAACGCGTTTTTGTAAAGTTTTGCTGAGTATCTATATTTATATATATATATATATATATACATATAAAGTTGTAAATATATATAGTTGTAAATATATTACTTTTTATACTCTCGCAACCTGTTGCTACAGAGTATAATAGTTTTGTTCACCTAACGGTTGTTTGTATCACCTAAAACTAATCGAGTTAGATATAGGGTTATATATATATAAATGATCAGGATGAAGAGACGAGTTGAAATCCGGGTGACTGTCTGTCCGTCCGTCCGTTCGTGCAAGCTCTAACTTGAGTAAAAATTGAGATATCTTTATGAAACTTGGTAGACATGTTTCTTGGTACCGTGAGACGGTTGGTATTGCAGATGGGCGTAATCGGACCACTGCCACGCCCACAAAAATAATCAAAAACAAATAACTTGCCGTAACTAATCTCCGCAATAAGATACAAGACTGCTATTTGGTACACAGGATCACATTACGGAGGGGCATCTGCAGTTAAAACTTTTTTTAAAAAGTGGGCGTGGTCCCGCCTCTAATAGGTTTAATGTGCATATCTCCTAAACCGCTAAATGCTATGATAACAAAATTCACTAGAACAAATGTTTTTAGCACTTCATTGACGGTGTGAAAATAGTTGAAATCGGTGGCAACTTCGCCCACTCCCCATATAACGGTACTGTAAAAACTACTAAAAGCGCGATAAATCAAGCACTAAACACGCCAGAGACATTAAATCTTATCTCTGAGATGTAAATTGGCTTTATAGGAACGCGTTCAAAATTAGTCAGTGGGCGTGGCACAGCCCACTTTAGGTGAAAACCCATATCTTGAGATCTGCTCAACGATTCACCAAATTCGGTGCATATCGTTCTTTTCATGTTTCTATGTCGAGTGCGAAATGGGCGAAATCGGACTACAATCACGCTTACTTCCCATGTAACACCATTTTCAATGCCATCTGATTCTTTCACTTTCCACTATGCAAATCAGGTAACAATGACTATATCGGGGTAAAACTTTGCGTGAATAATGCAATTAAAGTATGCCACCCTGCGGCCAAAAATTGTCTAAATCGAACCAAAACTGTTCAAACCCTAAGTACTAATATGTGGACCCCAGTGCCTTAGTTGACCTTCTACCGAAAATATCAGTCAATCCACAAAGAAATCTCAAACAAGTATACCATTTGACTTTGCGAGAGTACAAAATGTTCGGTTACATCCGAACTTAGCCCTTCCTTACTTGTTATGTATTTTTTTTAAGAGAATATATAAGGAAAATGAGAAGAGCAAAAAGGTTGAGTTGCGGTATATATGTAGCGCGGGAAATATGCCAATGTTTAAGAATATATGTGTGTATAATTTTTTTTTGTATTTTTTCTAGTGGTGTGTTTGGAGACACGAATTAAGCAGGCAGGTATTTGAACAACAGTAATTTTTTTATTTTTTATTTGAACTTTTTAGAAGTAGTTAATTTATGTATGTACCATATGATATGTATGCATATATGTATGTTGTTAAAAGGATGTTACTTGCGGTTAATATAATATTTTTCTCGGCAAAGTTTTAAAGCCCAAAAATTTTGTATTTAAATTATAAGTATTTGCACATATGTATGTATGTATTTCTGTAATATATGTGAGTTTTTGTTAGCCTTTGCTTATGCGTTATTAGCTCAAGGGGTACTGAAAATATCGCAAGTAGGAATACTTGACTTTGAAATTTTTTTTTATTTTTTGAAAGAATATAACGGTGTGTTTGGTATAATATACAATATATATATTTTTTTTCTCTTTTTCAGTTATATCGTTCGGTTATTTATTTCCACCGAAATACAGATAAAACTGTAACTAACATACATATGTACATATGCGCATAAAATGTCTCTATTTGCAAATTAAATCGATGGACTCACTTTTTTTCCGCCAAGGGTTAATGGGTAGCAATACTTCCTTTCTCTTCTTTTTTTATTCTGGGTTTTTTGTTCTTGTTTACGGTGTTTCAGTGCGTTACAGTCCTCCTCTCTGCGTGCTTGTTAGGGTACTCTCCGGTGGCTTATTTAGAAATTTTTTTTTTTTGTTTTAAGTAATTGTAAGTTTGGTTGTTTCACTTATGTGGTATTGTATCGCGCCCGCTTTTTATTTTTAGGTCTGTTGTTTTTTTACCGCCCGTTTGTTGTAATATTATATAACTTAACCACTTAGTATAGTATGTATATCAGTACTTATGTTTTGAAAAGATTTCAATTTATTATTTCATTTTTTTTTTCTTGATAGGTGCCTTTCAAGGAGGCTCGAAGGACCATTTAGTTACTCACTTTGCTTTTGTTCTTTCTTTTATTCTTTCCGAAATAAAATTTCACTTATATATAATATAATTCATATAGTTTCTCACTTTGCTTTTATTTTTTTTTCGAAATACAATTTCACTTATATACAATAATATTTTGAATGTTTTTGTTTTTTAAGTTAAATACACTTTTTCCACTATAACGCTTTAAATTGTTCAACGTTAAAGAAAAATCTTGAGTTTGGGGCACTTCCGAACAACTGCGCTGCTACGGTGTTTCTTTCGGACGGTGTCGAGAAACGAAAGGAGACATTCTTGTCTGTACAATCCCTTTGTTTCTTGGTGGTGAAAAGATGTTGCTTGAGGTGTCGGTGTATAATGTGGTTGGTTAGTTGTACAAGTATATGGTTGTGTTGGTGGGTGATATGGTGTGTTGTAGGTGGTGTATGACGTTGCATTGTATTATGTTGTGTTGCATGATGTTGTGCGGTGGTTGTGAGCTTAGTTGTAAAATTGTCGCGGGATTAGAAGTCGCATGAACACATATAATTTTAACTAAATTTCTTAAACTGGTTATTTGTTTTAAGTACTGCGACGCACTTAAAATGGTGGTGGCTAAATTCTGAAATACATGCATTGATGACGATACGGGTTAAGTACTGATGACAACAATATTCGGATACGGCATTGTTTCGTTTTTTTGCTTCAAAGCCTACTGTCCGTCATCGCCCCAGGATTAGCAAGCGCATTTTTACGTTCTTGTATAGCGCATGTAAGTTTTCGGAAAGGTCCTAACGGTAGCCCTAAAGACTTTAAATCCGCCTCGGTTAATTGAATCATCGTGTCCAGATCAATTTGTTGTTTCTGAAAACTAAGTGTGTAAACTATTGTTACATAGATCTGGCAGCTCCCTTCTGACTTGAAAATACTTACACAGGCAAATACTCTTCCAAACCCCAGGCTGCGAGAAAACGAGCGATTGGGTTGGCCGCATTGTCCTGCTCATCATCGCTATACCCATCCGCACCCTCAGAATCGGAATCAGATATGTTGAGGAAAGATCGTTGTTTGTTGTTACGCGTTTTCGTCGTAGTTGTTGTTTGTCGAATTGCTTCTGTGCTTGTACTCGTGTTGCCAGTTTCCATGTCGTGTGGCATATAGTCAACCGGCTGTAATTGACTGAGACCCGCAGTCACCGAACGCCGTAACGCTACACTACCTAATATCACACGATCGAATAGGTCAGCCGGGCGTTGCATTGCGAATTCTTCACACTGCCAGGTACAAACTTCGATTTGCACCTTTCCGTTATTTGACGTTCTGTGGTTTCACCATATTATATAATCTACAACTATATTATGTATAATTTATAATAACTTTTTCTTCACCGGCTTATAAAGGTATACACACTTACATATGTAGCTATGTATGCATATACAAATATTTATATATTGAGATATTACAGGAAATTGTTCTATTTCTTCTGGAATTTCTTCTGATCGTTGTAGACCAAAAAAACATTTGATCATCATCATCATATTCATCATCATTCTATGAAAATAGATATATAATATAATAAAGTACGCAACATATATGATTTTGCAATTCAAAATTACATTTATAATTAATTTAAAGAACCCTCCTCCCGATATTTAATAATAAATCTATGCGATTAATTTTTATTTTTCTTTAATTTTTGTGAAAGAAAATCTGTTTTACGCGATTTCCTTCGCGTTACAAGCGAAAACAAATTGCAGTCGTGTAAAATTAATATAAAGCTATACTGCCAAGTAGTCACACATTCAGTAATGGAAATATGTGTTTGTCGGAAATTTCTCACAAAAAGTCAGTTACGGTGAATTTATTCTTTTATCAGCGAGATGGTCATGGCATGGATTGACATCCATTATTACATACATGTGTTATTAATCCCATACCTTTGAGTGTAAAAACAAGATTATTTGTAATTGATAATGGATTTTGTTGTTAATTAATCTTACACCAATTTTTCAGCATATGCATACATAAGTATGTAGATTACTATGTATATACACGGACGTGTCGTTTTACAAGAAATTGTTACAGGAAGTACAGAAAGAGGCTTCAGAACGAATGAGACAAGAAATGCGTAAAACATGCAAAAACTTACTCTTATAAATTATTCTCAAGTATTTTTAATAATATCACTAGTTAGCAAAGTCTCTGCTGAAAAGGCCTTTCTTAGCCCAAAAACTAGCAGCTGTTAAAGCACATGTGTATACAAACGATATTTGACGCATTTCGTCTTACGTCATACCATGCATACATATTTTATAATATCTTTGACCGTCTTGCTCTACTCGGGTAAAAATATATACTTACTTAGAAAAGTCTTTAAATTTATTGAGGTCTTAGTTTTTCACAACGTAATAAAAAAATTGAAAAGTTTGTTCACGTGTATACCAGAAAACGATGTGCGAAATGAGCAAAAACCAAAACTATGTGTACTTGTAACTATATCTCTTTAGCAGGTGTGGGACCGATATTATTTTGTTTATTTCGAGGCAAGTTAAATTCCGGTGAACTGTCTGTCAGTTCCTCCGTACAAGCTGTAACCTGAGTAAAACTTAATACAAGTATATCTCGATGAAACTTGGTAAACCAGTTCCTGGGCGCCATATGAATGGTATTCTATCTCATGTATAAAAATTGTCGAAATCGGCCCATAACTTTTTCAGACCCAATATTCCGAATTTATCATTCAATCTGTACGATATGCTTTTGAAATTCAGAGAGATAATCTTTTCCAGATGCAATTGTGTAAAAATGGGTAATATATATACTTATGTACATATACCTAATATAAAGATTTTCAAACTTCCAGTTGACTTTGCCAAATTAAGTGAACCTATAATATTAGATATACTATAGTTTAATGGCGAAAATATGTGAAATCGGTCCATGAGTTACCCCACTTCCCAGTGAGGCTATACATAATAATTTTCGTTATGCTAGCATACTTTATCCCGAATATGTCGGTCAGTATATGAATAAGATTCATAAAATTTCGTGGAAACTTGTGCTCGAGAATACTTGTATAATGGCGAATGGGATTATATATAGTTAGAAGGCCGGAAAAAAGTTACTATTCCAAACGTTTTTCTGGAAAACTTTTAAATTTATTGATCCAAAATGAAGAGTCAATGATGATATCGAAATAAAACTTTGTACAAATAATGTATTTATGGATATGCTTTTGAAATTCAGAGAGATAATCTTTTCCAGATGCAATTGTGCAAAAATGGGTAATATACATATGTACATATATGTACCTAATATAAAGATTTTCAAACTTCCAATTGACTTTGCAAAATTAAGTGAACCTATAATATAATATAAGATATACTATAGTTTAATGGCGAAAATATGTGAAATCGGTCCATGAGTTACCCCACTTCCCAGTGAGGNCTTTTTAAATATAAATATCTCGAACACGAAGCAAAATGTAGTAATGAAACTTAGTGTGTTTAAGACCTAAAATATAAGTTCATATCTTTAATATAAATTTAACACAGTATTTCCCCCCCTTTGCATCTTTGCAAACTGTTAGAGCATAAAATATTAGGTTGCGCTCGAACTTAGCATTTTCTTACTTAATTATTTTAGATACTAGACGCACGTATTTGACCAGCTGCCTATTAGACAAAAACTTTGCAAGTCACTTCAAGACTAGTGCATACAAAAGCCTGTTATCAAATAAATAACAACCCAAATATTCAATAAACAGTAATAGGTACGAATGTTTATTATTATACTTGTATGTGAGAGTTTTTCTGCTCATTATTTCAAGATCAAGATAATTTATAATTAAATTATTGATAATAATAAAAAGGGGTGAATCAGGAGTAAGTGTCATTAGATCTTTGATGAATTGATAAAAACCGGAAACGAGTATGGATTTGTTTTCTAATAAGCAGAGAAATTTACAGATTTTCAATAAAACTAATATAATCTCATTGTTTACTAATTTACATTCTCTTAATTTTTTGTACAGAAATTTGCTTTCATACTCTCGCAACTACCAACTTTTCATTACTGGACCATTATGACGTAGTCTGAAATAAGTCAGATACTCTGGCTTCGATCATATTAAATATTAGATCCAAGTGATGAACAATCGTTGTACTACATCGTCGCTACATATGTTCTTACAATAAAACTAAACAACTAAATTTGCATACATATATCTTAACTAAAGTGGGCGTGTTGCTGGTCCAGGCATATTAGCAACAAGCTACGTTCAAACTCGCAAACGCTAACATCTACAACAAAGTATAGGTATATTGTTAAAGCAATATTACAGTAAGTGATAAAAATAATATTCCGCAATAATATTCGTAGACCACAATAGGAAAACTATAAAATTAGTACGTGCACAATCAGGCTTCATGCCTTTCTCAAAGTGATCATTATAATAAGCAGTATTGCTAGTCAATCTTTCCATTCAGTCGTGTTTGAGAGCTCGCGGTGTTTGCACGCGTTGGCGAATATTTGGTAAGAACAACTTGTGCAAAAAATTTGACGAAAGATTGAAGTGCCCTCGGATGAGATTGCGAAGCTTAGACAAAGTTGAGTGTTGTTGTGGGACAAGGGATACTCACATTTACTTATGTGTATCTGCAGTTTGAATGGCAGCTATATGCTATAGAGGTCCGATATAAACAATTTGTTTGGCGATTGTAGCGTTGCCTTGGATTATAATATTGGTAAAGTAAAAAGTTCGTTCGGTTTTTATCTAAGAGATGGCGTTATTGTCCATAGTACTAGTGTTACGTGTCGCATCATGTCATACTATACGGCGCTGAAAACGTGTTTATTCGCGCTAAAAGTTTGTCCTTGACAGTTTTTCGATTGACCGACTCAGTACGTTGTGAGCTCTCGTCAAAGATGGAGCTCCCGTCGTTGTGAGCTCCCATCAAAGAGAAAATTCGCTATATTTTACAATTTTTTTCGATCAAGGCGAAAAAGCAGCCAAAGCGGCTGAAAAAATTAATTTAGTTTATGGGCCCGATACTGTTAACGAACGTGTAGCACAAAAGTGATTTGCTAGGTTCCGTTCCGGTAATTTCGATGTCAAAGATGCACCACGCGTCGGGAGGCCTGTCGTCGAAAATTGCGATAAAATCATGGAAATAGTGGAAACAGACCGTCACGTGAGCACTTATTTAATTGCTGAGGAACTAAAGATGAGCCAGAAAACCGTTTGGAACCATTTACATAACCTTGGATTCAAAAAGGAGCTCGATGTATGGGTGTCACACGAACTAACGCAAAAAACATGATGGTCCGAATTTCCATCTGCAAATCGCTGCAGAATCGCAACAAAATCGTCCCGTTTCTGAAGCACATTGTGACTGGCGATGAAAAATGGGTCACTTATGACAACATCGAGCGCAAACGGTCGTGGTCAAAGCTCGGGGAAGCGGCCCAGATGGTGGCCAAGACCGGATTGACGGCCAGAAAGGTTTTGCTGTGTGTTTGGTGGGATGGGCAAGGAATCATCTGCGAGCTGCTCCCCTATGGCCAAATGCTCAATTCGGCCCTCTACTGCCAACAACTGGACCGCTTGAACGCAGCACTCATCCAGAAGAGGCAATCTTTGATCAACAGAGGCCGAATTGTGTTCCATCAGGACAACGCCAGGCCACACACGTCTTTGGTGACTCGCCAGAAGCTCCTGGAGCTCGGATGGGAGGTTTTAATGCACCCACCTTATAGTCCGAACCTGGCACCAAGTGATTACCATCTTTTCCTGTCCATGGCGAACGCGCTTAATGGTGAGAAGTTGGCCTCAAGAGAGACTTGTGAAAATTAGCTCTCCGAGTTTTTTGCCAATAGGGACGCAGCCTTCTACGAGAGGGGTATAATGAGGTTGGCATCTCGTTGGCAACAAGTTTACGAACAAAACGGCGCATATTTGACTTAAATCGGACAAATGTACACAAAGTTATCATCTTTAGAAAAATCAATAAAAAACCGAACGAACTTTTTACTTTACCTAATATATGCCAATTTCCTGAAGATAATTTTTCAAAAAAAAAAAAAGTTTTCCATATATGAGGGATTAGTTCGCAAATATGTGTGTACACAGACAGACAGACGAACGTAACTAAATCGTCTCAGCCCGTCAAGTTAATAATTTATATATGTATACGTTCTCCGACGTTTCCTTCTGTGTGTTACAAACTTCGGGGCAAACTTAATATACCCTGTTAATAACTTAATTTTTATTTAACAAAATCTAAAACAAATTAGCTTCAACGATATACATATTAGCAGGTATCAATTTATAAAAGGTGAACAGTATGTATGTTTTATTAAAGCGCAACGATTAAGTCAAGGCCATGTAACAAGGATGAACACTAAGTGGGCGCAAAAGAAAAAAATTTAACCTGTGTTGAACCGCACTACGATAATTAAAGAAGACGAAGAGCACCACATCGATTTGTTAAGACTTTGAAGTGATTTTTTCGGCTTCAGCTCGTTTTTCGAGCGCCATTCGCTACCTTGTCAAGCATTGACGCGCTTCATACCCAAAACATTAACCAAAATCTTTTCAGTCGATCCATAAGAGATTTGAGTCGATCCATAAGAGATTTTGAGGTACTGTACTATCTCTTTGATGCCAATACTATGATTTTCAAGCGCTCTTTCCTTAACTTTTTTGCTGTTATCGTCATTAACGGTGGATGAACGACTCGCATGAGGAAAGTTTTGTATGACTTTTGGACCTTTATTCAATGCTTTGTGTCACTCAAGTACTTGTGATCGTGATAAAATAGCCACCCAGAAGACATCTGCATTATTCTCAGCGATTCGATAGACGTGATTCCGTTAGAAACATAACATTTCAAGCATACTCGTTGTTCAATTTCTTATTCGTGGTAAAACATACATTTTCTTAGGGAGTTTGAGACATAGGATCATACAAAGTAAATCCAAATCTTGTATGAAAATTACTGTCAACATTTTAAGTGAATCAGTACAAAAGTGAGCATTTCATGTTTTCGGGCGCTTCGAAACGGTACTTTTAAGAAAAAAGAAGTGCATTTTAGCTCTTGGAACCCTCAGCTCGCAACTCCCGTAGTGCTTGATAAAATATATAATAAAATCATATCAGAGTAAAAACAACAAATTATTGTGATCGTTTATAAAAGAAAGTTTTGTAAAGCCATAAAAGGTAAAATGTTCATCATTAGTCGGCATAGTTGTTTCTAATTAAACACAGTACTAATAAATGAATGCAGGAATATTGTTTTGTTTTACAAATTTATGATTTTACAGTAAACATCGCCAACGGTATTGTTCTTGGTTTTGTTAAGCAAATGTCTGAAAGCTTTATTAATTTACTTTTGTAAATACAGTACACATATATGAATATAGCCATGTGTGTACGCTTGTGTGAACTTAGAGTACGTATACAATTGATGACGACTTTTTGGTTTGCCCATTGAATTATTTAAATGATTTATTACACTTCAAAGCGTGACAATTGCATGATCATGAATTGTGATACTCATATATATGTGTGATCACGTCTTTACAAACACATACATACATACATACATACATACATACATATAAAGAAACAATTAAGACTATTACTTCCATCTACTATATAGTTAAGGGCTTTAATTTGTAATGTTAAAAAAAATTAAAAAGTGACACTTGCTGTGGTTGCACAGTATCATGTATCTACAGAAAGCAAATTGTATTGAACTCTTTTATTATCTTCATTTTAGGGAAAGACTAGTATCCTCTAGTTTCTCTTAAACAACGTAAAAATGGTCAGCAGTAGCTATAATGTGTCAATACAAGGTCCTTCAGATCTTGCTGAGGACTTCAAAAAATTAGAAGGTTTACCAGGACCAAAAGATTTTGAGGCAACACAAAAGTAAGACGTTCCCTTTAAATGATTTCCATTCCATTTTAATAATATTTTTACTTTGGTCTTCTACTTTCAGTGAGAGCAGTACTACAGAAAAGAAGTATCCTTATTTGGAGCTGGTAAGTATTAGTGGTTACGAAATTCATTAGTCAACATTAGTGACATTTATATCATAAAAATTATATGTGTTAATACAAGTATATATAAATTAATGCTGTTCATGCAACTGTTTATTGTTCCTTTTCAAATAAATTCCGTCAGCATAGATAATATTTGCAATAGTTTTAATATAATAAATGTAACTTTTGCGTTTTAAGGTTTCTCTCCAGAAGTAAAAATTTCATATATAAACAATGAAGCTTGATTAATTATGCTACAATGTTAGCACTCACCGAAGATATTTTATTTCCTTTTTATTCACAAAACGCCCTTTTAAAGTTTAAATTACTTTTTATTATTATTTTTAGTTTTTTTATTTAATGTCATTTTTCACAACCTTTCTACTAAAAGGTAATACAACGATTTTAAAGAGGTCGGTAGTGGAAATAGCGATTTCACGGTGACTTTGCGCAAAAGAAGGTTTGTGGTCGCTCGTCGTCCCCTTTTAACCTCCTTCGGTGTGGTGTGTAGTGTGTCTTCATGTGTGGGGTGATCGTGGTGGTAGGATTGGTGTAGAATGTGTGTAGGATGGTGTATTGAGTTACTCATTTAACCATAGCTTAATTATAGATTACCATAATCGTACATTGTCGAAACACTTCATTATTTAAAAATAATTGTAATATTATTCAGTTTAATTCGTGCGTATAAAAACTTACGCTAGCATTAAAATTTATAAAAAAAACAACTAAAGTAACAGAAGGTTTAAATTCAGGTGTAACCGAACATTTTACGATATACGATTATCTTAATTTAGAGTTTAGTTATAGCAATTTATAGGTTTTCGAGTAACGTTGTTTCGTCTGCAATACAAAATTCCATCAATACTCGCATACAATCTCGATGTGTACTTAAGTTATCGCTTGAACTGATCGACAGACAGTCACGCGGATTTCAACTCGTCTCGTCATTCTAAAATATGTGCCCATATGTGCGGTACAAAATCAGCCGGAAGTTCGAAAATCTTTCTGTTAGGNTTCTGTGAATTTCTTTAGTAATCTCACAGATTGATTAATATGTTTGATAAAAAGTTGGCAATGTAGGTAGCTGGGGGCTTGAATGGTTTTAGTCCAATTCGGACAATTTTTAGTCATTGTGTAAGGTGGCATACCGCAAAGTACTATTTTAACCGGATACACTGATTGGTTCTTGTTTTTTATACTGGAAAGTAAAAAAATCAAATGGAATTTACAGTTGCGTTATATCGGCAGTAGGCGTGGTTTATAGATTTTCGATTAATGGCGTTTTATAGGCGTGGCAATGAATAATTTAATAGTAATAATGAGAATAAATTTATGAAAATAACTTCACTCAGTGAACTTATTTATTACAAATGTACTACATATATAACTCGCATATCTATCGCGATTAGTTTTATATATTACAAACAACCGTTAGGCGAACAAAGGTATTATACTCCGTAGCAACATGTACGAAATCATATAAACTTGGGTTCTTTATCCAACACCGATTTCTTTTACAACAGTCAACGGAACAAATCCTATTAAGGCTATATACTTGTAGTTTAAAAACTCATGTTATTTTTCTGTATAAATTACAATGAAAGCGTTTAGTTTTGAGAATCAAAGGATATTATTAGTTATCAAACGAGCAAGTATATGGTATATGTATTTTGTGGAAAGTCAGGCGGTAAATGGTATTTATACTTTTCAGTTTCGCTATGCCACAATATGGGATTGTCTAACAATGGTCATCGGTATACTGGCGGCATCGATGGCTTCAATATCCGTGCCCTATAATGTCATCCTTTACGCCGAGTTCACCACTCTGCTCATAGATCGCAATATGGGTATTGGCATTTCAACGCCAGCACCGATCTTGAGTGTTTTCGGCGGTGGCAAGGCGCTGTAAGTTTCACAATTTTTTCGATATTTTATTTATTTATCATACAATTAACGATTAATAATTTAACAATTATCAATTAGCACAAATGCAACTCATGCCGAGAATATGCAGGCTGTCAAAGATGATGCGCTGGCTTTTGGTTTGGGAGCGGTGGTTGGTTGCATGGTCCAACTATTGCTATTAAGTTTGGCGGTCGCTATCTTGAATAAAGTGGCGCTCAGACAGGTTTGTGTGATGCGATAGATAAATATATATGTTTTTTTAAGCCGATCTCTACTTTTTAATTATTTAACACAGATCGCGAAAATGCGAAAATTGTTTTTGGAGTCTATATTACGTCAAGATATGTCGTGGTATGACACTTCTGCCGGCAATACTTTCGCCAACAAGATGACAGAGTATGTGAAGGAAATGTTTTACTCAAAACGAGATTTCTTTAAAATATTTAATTCATTGCAGAGATTTAGATAAAATGAAAGAGGGCATTGGCGAAAAGGTCGCAATGTTTGTATTTCTCATAATGACGTTCGTTGCTGGAGTTATCTTCTCTTTTATCTATGGCTGGCTCTTAACACTGATAGTGCTCAGTTGTTGTCCATTTATTATTGTTTCTACGGCACTGGTGGCTAAAATTCAGGGCACTTTCACAGAGAAGGAGTTGAAAGCTTACTCGAATGCCGGTGCGGTCGCTGAAGAAGTCTTCTCCGGCATACGTACAGTACTTGCCTTTAGCGGTGAACGCATAGAAACTGAAAGGTTCAGCAAATTGCTTGTGCCAGCAGAGAAGATGGGTCGAAAGAAAGGTTTTTACTCCGGTGTCGGCAGCGGCGTTATGTGGTTCATTATTTATATTGCTTATGCGATAGCAATATGGGTTGGCATTAAACTGATATTGAAGTATCGCTATATGGATGAGAAATTATACACAGCTGGTTCGTTAGTTATCGTACTATTCAGTATCATCATGGGTGCGCAGAACTTAGGTTTCTCACTGCCACATGTGGAGGCATTCGCAACGGCAAAAGCTGCAGCACAAAATGTTTTTGCCACCATCGATCGCAAGTCAGCGATTGATCCGTTAAATGAGAGTGGTGAAAAATTGGAGAATATGATTGGTAACATAAGTTTCGAAAATTTACATTTCCGTTACCCAGCGCGATCAGATGTACAAGTACTTAAGGGATTCTCATTACAAGTTCGCGCTGGTCAAACCGTTGCGTTAGTGGGACCGTCTGGTTGTGGTAAGTCCACCACACTACAACTGTTACAGCGCTTCTATGATGCGCCCAGTGGTTGTGTACGTCTCGATGGGCGTGATCTACGTGAATTGAATGTAGGTTGGTTGCGTTCACAGATAGGTGTTGTCGGTCAGGAACCAGTATTATTCGCTGCCACTATTCGTGAGAATATACGTCAGGGTAAACTCTCAGCGACGCAAGAAGAAATTGAGAAAGCCGCACGTATGGCCAATTGTCATGAATTTATTGTCAAACTACCAAGTGGTTATGATACGATGGTGGGTGAACGGGGCGCTCAAATGTCTGGTGGCCAGAAACAACGTATAGCCATTGCACGTGCACTCATACGAAACCCGAAAATTTTATTGCTGGATGAGGCAACATCAGCTTTAGATCCCACATCCGAGCGTCGGGTACAAGACGCACTCGATGTGGCCAGTCAAGGACGTACCACGTTGGTTGTATCACATCGCCTTTCGACAGTGACAAACGCTGATTTGATTGTGTTCGTCAAAGACGGTGCTGTGGCTGAGCAGGGTACACACGATGAACTTATGCGCTCGGACGGGCTTTACTGTAAGTTGGTAATGATATCGAAACGTAAGGAAGAGGAAGAGGCTTTAGCGAACACCTCCAATGCAGTGCGACAGCGTAAGCAACAACAGCAAATGGTTCATGACTCCGACGATGACGACGAAACAAGTTCCGATGAAGCAGACGCTGAAACTGATGTGAGCAAACGTAAGACACACAAGTACTTATATTACACTTTGGCATTAAAAATATATATATATATATTTTTTTTTTACAGAGAAATCGAAAATAAAGACGCCCAAGCTCGAAAAGCATAAGATCACTTTTAGTCAGCTGATGAAAATGAACGCACCGGAGTGGCGTTACATACTAATCGGCTGCATAGCAGCCATGTTGCATGGTGCTACATATCCTACATGGGCTGTGCTCTTCGGCGACTTCTTTGGAGTAAGTAGTGCATAATATATTAATATTAATCAATACATTTTCAAGCATATATTCATTTCGCTTACAGATTTTATCCGATCCCGACGACAATTATATCATAAGGCAATCGATTTTGTTTGCCTTTCTGTTCGTCGTTATTGGCATTATAACCGGCATTAGCTCGCTCTTACAAACCTACATGTTCAGCATTGCGGGCGTGAAGATGACAACGCGATTGCGTCATGACGCTTTCAAAGCCATAATCAGCCAAGAGGTCGCCTACTTCGATGACCAACGGAATTCAGTGGGTGCGCTATGTGCACGCCTTGCTGGCGATTGTTCGAACGTGCAGGGTGCAACGGGCTCGCGCATCGGCATCATTGTGCAAGCAATCTCTACACTTACCATCGGCGTAATTCTATCGTTTACATACTCCTGGAATTTGACACTGGTCACTTTGCTAACTGTGCCACTCGTGTGTGCGTGCATACTTTTCGAGTCACGATTTATGGAAGCGAGTACGAATGTAGAGCGACTAGCAATTGAAGATGCGTCGCGTGTTGCGGTGGAGGCAATAGCTAACATACGCACTGTAACCAGTCTAGGGCAGGAACGTCACGTGCTTGAGCGCTATTGCGAACAAATAGACAAAGCCGATAAGGCGTGTCGCAAGAAGGTGCGTTTCCGCGGTGTGGTGTACGCTATGGGACAAACGGCACCGTTCTTGGCCTATGGCATTTCTTTGTACTACGGTGGTATTCTAGTAGCCAATGATGGAATACCCTATCAGGATATTATAAAGTGAGTAGAGAAAATGTTTTTGTATATTGGTTGCCATAACTAATTATATACACAACTTTAGAGTCTCTGAGGGTCTTATTTTCGGCTCATGGATGTTAGGTCAGGCGCTGTCATACGCGCCCAATGTTAGCGCTGCCGTGTTATCGGCAGGACGCTTGCTAAAACTGTTTCAACGTACACCCGCCATGTACAGTCCCGCAGATAAGCCATACAACACAACTATGGTGAGTTAAAAAAAAAATATGATAAAAGTAGTACTATGTTTAATCATACAATTCAACGATTTAGAAATCTGGAGGCGACATTACTTACGAAAACGTCGATTTCAATTACCCCAATCGCAAAGGCATAACTATACTGCAGAACCTTAATTTGACCATCAAAGGCGGCACTACAGTGGCCTTGGTTGGGCCTTCAGGCTCCGGCAAATCCACATGTGTACAGCTGCTGTTACGCTATTATGATCCTGTACTAGGTAAAGTCAATCTGAGTGGCGTACCAACAACAGAATTCTCATTCGATAGCTTACGTTCCGGCATGGGTCTAGTTTCGCAAGAACCCGTTCTATTGGACCGAACTATTGCTGAAAATATCGCCTACGGCAATAATTTTCGCACAGATATTCCCATGGCTGAAATTATTGAAGCGGCCAAGAAATCGAACATACATCAGTTTATCACCTCCTTACCGCAAGGCTACAACACACGTTTGGGCAGCAAAGGCGCTCAACTGTCTGGAGGTCAGAAGCAACGTATTGCCATAGCACGAGCTATGGTACGTAATCCAAAGATATTGATACTGGATGAGGCTACGTCTGCATTGGATATGGAGAGTGAGAAGGTGGTGCAAGAAGCGCTGGACGCGGCACGCAGTGGTCGTACATGCCTTACAATTGCGCATCGACTGACCACAGTGAGGGATGCGGACCTAATCTGTGTGCTGAAGAAAGGTGTGGTGGTGGAGAAAGGCAATCATGAAGAATTAATGGCATTGAATGGCATATACGCAGAGCTGTATATGATGCAGCAAGTGGCTTAACCAATGATTTCCCTTAGAATTGTTAATGCTGTTGTTGGCAATAACCTGATATGTACATAAAGTCAATTCGATATTAATTTAGCATTAACATTATTGTTATGTTATGAGTAAAGTAGATAAATACATATAATTTTAACTAAATTTCTTAAATTGGTTATTTGTTTTAAATACTGCGACGCACTTAAAATGGTGGTGGCTAAATTCTGAAATACATGTATTGATGACGATACGGGTTAAGTACTGATGACAACAATATTCGGATATGGCATTGTTTCGTTTTTGCTTCAAAGCCTACTGTCCGTCATCGCCCCAGGATTAGCAAGCGCATTTTTACGTTCTTGTATAGCGCATGTAAGTTTTCGGAAAGGTCCTAACGGTAGCCCTAAAGACTTTAGATCCGCCTCGGTTAACAGTATCAATGTGTCCAGATCAATTTGTTGCTTCTGAAAACTAAGTGTGTAAACTATTGTTATATAGATCTGGCAGCTCACTTTTGATTTGAAAATACTCACACAGGCAAATACTCTTCCAAACCCCAGGCTGTGAGAAAACGCGCGATTGGGTTGGTCGCATTGTCCTGCTCATCATCGCTATACCCATCCGCACCCTCAGAATCGGAATCAGATATGTTGAGGAAAGATCGTTGTTTGTTGTTACGCGTTTTTGTCACAGTTGTAACACCGTTTTGCCGCCCTGTTGCTGTGCTTGTACTCGTGCTGCCAGTTTCCATGTCGTGCGGCATATAGTCAACCGGCTGTAATTGACTCAGGGCCGCAGTCACTGAACGTCGAAACGCAATGCTGCCCAACATCGGACGATCGAATAGGCCAGCCGGGCGTTGCATTGAGAATTCTTCACTCAGTCGTCCAGTGGATGTTAGCGTATCCCCAAGTATATCGGGTTGTGAAAAGGAACGTGAAAGTGCGCCATAACCTAATTTGGTAGTTTCGCGTTCACGATCACTGCTCGTTTCGTCTACTTCGAAAACATCGCTGATTTTACCTCGTTTGCTGTTCTCTTCATTTGAGCTGAACGTGCCCACATACAGGACTTCCGAGTCGCGTTGCACACCTATAAGCGACGTTACTGTGCGTTTACCATCCGGTTCAATGCCACCAATCTTGAAGCCAGTCTCTTCCACTTTATTTGAATGACTCGAGTGTTGGTGGCTGCGAAGTTTCTTCTGCACCGTACCGGCACGACTCGCAATTGAACCAACACTACCGCCGCTACCACTGCCAGGCGATACGAGTTCACTAAATTTTGTAGCCGTGCTGCCGCCACTAATACTTGGACAGGGCGCAGCAAGTGGCGCCGAGTCTCGCGTTGGTTTATGCAAATTACCTTGACTGGACCAAATCTTCTGTTTAAGTGTTGACAACATATTTGACTTGTTGCTGTTGCACGCGACAGTCACTGCTTTGCTGCTCGTTTCAATATGGTCATTTTCCAATTTTTGTTGACGTTTCATATATTCGCGCATGCGTTTCTCACATTTTTTTTCCGCTAGCTCACGCATAGCTTTGGCCTTTTTCCTGTTAAGAAACCGAATATTTAATTGCTTTTTGTACTATATCACATATTCGTAAATGCTTACTTGTCGTTTGTCTCGAAATTCGCTGTGGCGCTATCCAAATACCGTAGAATGTCATCGCGATTGTTGATGGCCGCTAAGTCCTTAGCACTATGACGATCAATATCAAGCGCATAGATATTTACGCCGAATTTCACAAGGAAGTCCACACAATGCAGATGACCCTTGGCGGAGGCTAAATGTAGCGCCGTATTGCCGAACTGGTCACATTTATCAGGGTCACCTCTGAGGAGCGAGAAAGTCACATAAAATTAATGTATAATTATATAAATATAAAAGTAATTAAATACCCTCTCCCACAAAGCAAACGTAACGCATCCAAACGTCCCTCAAAAGACGCCCACAGCACCGGTGTCATAGAATCATCGTCTTTAGCATTAGCATCCTTACGTGTAGCTTCTTTTAGAACGTCAAGTAAGCCATCTCTTGCCGCTCTGCAAATAGCAAATATGTATAGCATCTGTAAAAACTACGGTCGGCCGAGAATGGAGAGTAGATGGAGAACTCTTAATGAAAATGAGTAGCTATTTATATTTCAATGGCTCCATCTGCATATTGCCTGCTTTACTTTGAAACCGTTATACTATACTCTCAAATATCACAAACAACAACAGTCTGAGAGTCGATATGTTTTTCCAATCGGCTTGGGGAAGGAAAATTTAACAACATAATCGATATACAAAGAAGTGAAAACCCATTTGTGTTGTAAATTTATATCGAAGGTTTACAATCATATGGAAATGTGAAAAATTAATTTATCGAAGTTTGCAGACATAGTCGATCTCATTTAGAGTTACTTCAACTTGAAGAACTTTTGGTATACGCCTTTGGTTATGGCCTTTAACTTTATGTGTGGCCTTTCAAAAACACGAAATAATCTTATGGATCGGGAATTATGCCACTAAGACCTGTTTACGGAGATTGTCTATAAAGTTAACGTAGCCACCATCTGATCAAATTTGACCCGGACTGCCAAAAAAAAATACATGTTCGCGTATCTTAATACCAATCTTTATTACTGCCCTCAAAAAACGCTCCAGAGCCAATACTGGCATGACAACGCATAATCCAATTTTCCATACACTGGCTATAAGTCACGGCTGCGTTGACCTTCAGTGTTTTTATCAAATTTTGAATTTTCGGAATATTCATAAACCCACGTCTTGCCACCAGTAATGATACGTTTGAAGCTTTTAGGATGCTCTGATACAATGTCAAGCATATCTTTTGCGATCTCTAGTCGTCGTTGCTTTTGCAAAAGACTCATGTCTTTTAGTATGAATCTAGAATTGATACATTTCATACCCAAAACATTAACCAAAACGTGTTGAGTCGATCCATAAAAGATGTTGGGACCCTCTGTTATCTCTCTGATGTCAACACAACGACTTTAAAGCACTATTTCTCTAACTTTTTCGATGTTATCGTTATTAACAGAGGTGGATGGACGACTCGCATGAGCAAGTTTTCGATGACTTCACGACCTGAGTGCTTGCTGCTACTCAAATGATTGTGTTGGTGATAAACACTTCTGAAATATTTTCAACGATTCCTCAAACGTGATTCTATTGAGAACACAAAAACCCAAGTCAATTCGTTATTCAATAAAAATCTCCAGACAAAGTCAAATTTGATCAGATGGTATAACAAAAATTATATTATATGTATATCAGAAACGGCAAACATCAAAAATTGTAGGCTGGATTGATAACAATTGCGCAAAAAGACAATTGCAAACTAGTTGAACTTTATCTGAAGCCAGGAATGTTGTTGGTATGCTGGGAAGTGTATGATTGTATTTAAAAGAAATATTTAGGTACTCACTTGTGAAATCTGTCTGAAGACATGCTTGATTTTTACTTCTTTTTATTAAATTTCAATTATCTGTTCGTATGCGATAAACTCCAGCCACTCATAAACAATCGGTGGGCAAAATTATATTTACTTATGCATGCATGTACATAGCATTCATTGCACTTTTATTTCTTTAGTCTTGCTACTGGTAACCCACTTCGGTTTGCGACTGCTAGATAATGCCAATGTTTCGACTAAAAAAATACTCTCATCCTCACTTGTATGTACAAATGTGTGTATGTGAATATGTGCATATAATAATAATAATAAAAAAAGTTTTTCATACAATAATAATTGTCTATATACATAAGTATGTACATATATTTTAGCGGCTGCGGCCGGGTGAGTTTCATCAAAAGCTTTTTTGATGTTAGAAGCATATATATGTACAATACTATATACTTAGATATTTGAAACTTTCCACCAAGAGTCCATAACGCTTAGGAAGCACTTTTTCGATCTGTGCACCTCAACCGGCACAAGTGTTCAAAACCCAAAAGGCATTGTAGATATGAAGGTTTGACAGCGGAATTACTTCCGGCTAAGAATCTACCTAGATATCAGTTGAATGTACATGCATATGCCTATCTGCATACCTCCCATCTGCATACATACATACATATGTATATATGCGATCGGCATACGTTGTTATACTTATACTTATGTACACACAAGCAGTGTTTATGACTTCATGTTATGTACATACTAATTCAAAGAGACGTGGTGCGCTATAACGGAACTTTAATTTGGAGTTCACTCAACTGTTTACAGAGAGTTGACGAATGTAATAACTTGGTTGGTATGTACCTATTATACATACAAACTAACAACAAAAAGATTGTACATTTTTTGTTGTACATACAATTCCAGTGAGTTTACAACAGCATTAACAAAAATTACCGAAAGCAAAATCAGTTTAGACAAATGTTTTTGAATACAAATTATACACATACACAATTACACATACATTTGACGCTGCAAATTTCGTTATAATTACCACCAGCTCTAATCATAAAAAACAATAATAATATTCACAATATTTTGTATCTTAGCAAAAGCAATTAATATCTCTATGCACATACATAGGAATTTGCATTCGCACAAACACGAAAATACAACAAAAAAACAAAGCACGCAGCACTATTCGAGAGAAGAAGTACATAAGCAACTGCAACTTTTTCTTAACGCGGCTCAAGCGAGTTTTCTGTTTACCGCTTCTATCACCTGGCTGCAGTTACGGTTAACGCGATCACTTGTTTTACAAAGTTGTTGACGCATTGAGTGGCAAACAAAAACTGCTGGAAGTTTAGCTCATTGATAGCGATTTGACCAACATCTATTGTTGTCTATTGTGAGTACGCTTAGTTAACTTGGCTTGCAGAATTGGAGCCGAGCTTGCCATGGTAATAACAGTTTTCTGCAGAGAATATAGATGTGTAGATGTGTTGTAGTATAATCTACATTCACTGCTTTTACCAGAGAATGTAAATAATTTTACCAGAGAATGAAAATAGCTTACATTCTCTGCTTTTACTAAGTACTCTTTTGCTTTTTTTGTGTTTTAAGTGTCTGTGCTCTTTCAAACAACCAGAGAACGTATATTATAATATAATTTACATTCTCTGTAAACAACCTCACAAAATTCGGTTCCGGTTGTCGCTAATAAAACAACTAACGTTGTTTTGGCAGCACTGAAAATAAAAATCAAGAATCAAGAAGAAAAACAAAAATACATTATAGAAATCGATTTTTAATAACGTACCGATTTCGTTTATCTTGGCAAAATTGCTTTAACAAATTAATCGCAAAAAGAGAAAACAAACCGAACAACATAAAAATTACTGCATAAGCCAAAATAATTCATTCAAAAACTCACTCTACTATTTTTATAGTGTCAGCTAAAGGTTAACGTAGAGTTGCTAAAATAAGAATTTCCAGTAATGTAAATTTTATTGTTATAGTTATTTTTATGTTTTTATTATTATTATTTTTCTAATAAGAAAAACAGCAAATTGAGTTGACTCGAAACCTTCATAAATATACTGGCTGGTAATTTTTAGTTTCTTTTAGCAATACGCGCATCAAAATTGCGTACAACTATATATTTATCACTGTTACTAAATGCAACACTGTGAACCCAGTGGGGTCATGTCAAAAACTGAAGTGAAAAACTGCAAAGAAATACACAGATAAATAAATACATAAATAAGTATTTTCACTGATGCTGCTGTTTTGTACTATCGGGGAGGAGTATCAACCAGCGCCAATAATAACCACTAACAGCAACAATATCAGTTTTAGAAGCAAATTAATAATATCAATAGTGACTTTTCTCAACCTCTGCTCTGTCACCCACAAGTTATGGAAATCGAATCGTGTGTAAAATAAAAAGCAAACGAAACTGGTGAGAAGACGTTGAGACAGATTGTCTGCTATACGCGACCCTTGTCGCCTATTGGCAACGGCTTACCACGGCTGGATGTCTTCAAGACTTGACTGTTTTGTTACCAGGGTTTCAGAAGAATACCTAATGAGTCAGCCCAGCTAAGTGATCTTGCTAGATTAGTAAATAGTTTATCAACGCATATGTACTTTAAAAAAACAACCATCAAAAATTAGAAACTGCCTTGTCGCCCATCTTTACTGCCACTGATACACAAATCGAATATTTAACTATTATAAAACTGTTAAATGATTTGTTTGCATACACTAGCGCTTTTAATAACAACGACGTTCGTTTCGGTAGGCCGTCGCAATTTGTCGGGCAGTCAACAAGCAAGCAATTAGTAAATTATTTACCATATATTTTACAATTAACTATCATAATACTGCGATGGGTAATTGCCTGCAATGCTTCCAGACATCGTCCGATAATTCGGGTTCACCGAGCTTGGCCACAGCGCCCACCTGCCAGAAACCGCATATAGAAGGTAAATAAATAATTAATTCCTCAAACCAAATTGTTATTACTATGACACATTAATTAAACAAAGTTATCTGAAAAAAGTTATGTTGCATTGATTGTTAAAATTGATTAATACAAACATTCACTACTCGAAAATAAACAAATAAATTTTCTTATAATAAAATTGCAAATTTTCAGTTTTTAATAAAACTTTATGAATTTCTACACAACAAAGCCAAAATTAAATTGTTTTAATCTTTTTAGAAACGGATGAATTGCTGTCGCCCAGAAGTCCACTCAAGAACGCAAACAATTGTGATACTAAGCGAAGTAGTTTTAAGAAATCTTTGGTTCTACTTAATGGAAATGCCACCACCATGAGTGAAATAATAACAACAGGTATTTAGCATAAGTAAAACTATACAGAAAGCAGAATATTTAAATTTGTTTTAAACTCTTTTATAGCCGTAAAGGAAACGCTTGAAGTGTCGGATAATACGCTTAACCAGCTTTTCGAAGAATATAAAGATCCCGAAGAGGATATGATACTCACTGAGGGTATTGAACGTCTTTGTCACGACCTAAAATACCAGCCTGATGAATTCGCAATACTGGTGTTGGCCTGGTGTTTGGATGCCTCACAAATGTGTCGATTTACAAAGTCGGAATTCATTGAAGGTTTACACAAAATGTGCGCAGATACTATCGAAGCAGTACGAATAAGACTGGAGCAAACGATCGAAATGCTCAAAGTGGATACAGAAATGTTCAAACAACTCTATCGTTTCACATTTCGGTAAATTGCTAAGCAAACATCAATGTCAATATATGGTAAATAACATCACATGCTACATATTTATATATCTGTTTTCGTAGTTTTGGTCTAGAGCCTGATCAGCGCATTCTCTCGTTGGATATGGCCATCAGTCTATGGAAATTGGTATTCACGGTGCATACGCCAGAACTGCTTGGTAACTGGATACATTTCCTCGAGCAGCATCCCAGCATACGTGGTATTCCAAAAGACACATGGAATATGTTCTTAAATTTCTCCGAACAATGTGATATCAACAATTATGACGATACAGAAGCATGGCCGAGCTTATTTGATGATTTTGTCGATTACGAACGTTCAAGGCTGACAACGCTCACTGAAATTATCGAAAGTGAAGGTGCAGCTGATGGCAGTTATTGTGCGACTAAGGGAGTTGTCGGTGAATCTGCAGAGGACACACAGATAGAGGCATGTGTCGCAGCTGGTTACGTTGACGATGACAACAACAATGATGATTTTAGTCGTCAGGCTCACCAATCACAATTAGGGAAGGCGGAAACGGAAACAACGGGTGTTCGCAGCGCTAATGATGATATCTTATAGTATTAAACACTTGTTCGAAGAACGATATGTCGCGAGGTTTTTTAAAAGTTTTAGTTTTATTGTTATTATTTTATTTTATTAACTAAACAAAATTCTACAAAAACTCAAAAGGCTAGAAAAAAGGAAATAATTAGCCGCAAAGCATTTCGAAGACGATATTTGCATTTGCGTTTGTGTTGCGAAACGCACTGCTCATTCGAAGATCTCCTTTTTACAATTAATATTATTAGTATAATATAATAAATAAATTACTTATTTGCTTTGTGCTAATTAAATGTAATGTTCATTCACATTAGACTTGAATCGGAACGAATAACGCTTTTCCAGTGAGCAACATGGTGCGTTAGTTTAAGAATTTTAATTTTAAATCGTTTTGTTGCCTAATCAAGTACATAAATATGTGTATATTAATTTTACTTGATTTTCAAACGCCTCTTGATTAAGTGTGGCACATTCCCAATTGATGCGAATATTAAATTTATTATTCAGCTTAGGGTTAAGTGGGAGATACATATGTATATGTATATGCATGTATGTATATACAAAGGTAATTTGTAACGTAGCAGTAGTAATAAAGATTACGTGCCTCACGAACGATATTACCTGGTGTCCTTCCGTTCAACCTTTATTGAATTGCATAACCGTATGTGTATTAGCATAATGTTGCCAAAATAATAATTATTTATACCTAAAATTATACATACATACATTATTTGAAATGCACGCTGTATATTTGTTTGATGAAACTGTAACATTAAATTATTAGTTGCACGCATACATTTGTTTCCCCATTAACATGATTCTATGCACCACATATACATACATACATAAATACCTAGTTCGATAATTATGATAAGACAATACATTGATATATCGCATCCTTATTTATGAATAAAAATGCGTAAATAATATTTTTATGGTCAATTTACTGTCGCTTTCTGATCATACAGTTTTAGGCTGAATAAATCCAATTGAGTTTCAGAATTATAGTTTTTTTTATAAAAAAAAAATACCGCATTCATTGAAGCCTTTCGTTTAACGAAATACATATGTATGTATTTGCTGGAGTTAATATTTTTATAATATAGTTGTGGTTTTTTTTCTTTAATTTAATTTATTTTTTTTAATATTTTTATTTTTAATTCAAAATTGAGAAGACGCTTCGATAACTACTGTTAAAGAAAAATCGTCACAGTTGTACATATGTATGTATGAAAATATGTACATATATTTATTTCTACGTAAAAAGAAATCATTGTAAAATATTTAAGTAATAGTTAAAACTTAAATAACGGCGGAAAATTGTGATGTATTTGCAAATACCTACATATGTATATATTATTATATTTACATACGTACATACATATGCCTTAAGGTGTCCGTTATTTCCCATGTTGATTGGTTTTGTGCATACGCCCCCTAAAAGTTCAAGCTTAGCTTTAAAAATAAGGATCCAACGTAAACAGGCTCTTCATTTTTAACTTAAACCGTGCCTAATCAATATTTTCCCATGTACATATGTACATATATAACATGAAATGTGTTGATATTTTGCATAAATCAGGTAAATCTACAACTTTCAAAAAGTAATATTCCAATACAAAATTTGTCGCTCATGAAATGATATAGCATTCGCACAAGTGATTTATACATTATGTGTTGCTCATACGACATGGCGTACCACATGAATACAGTACCTTTGATGCATAACTTTTAAAGGAATGTTTTTATGCAAAAAAAAAACGGTTGTTTAGGTTGGATTCTTTTTTAAGACAAAAACTGAAATTTGAAATGTCGCACACTCTAATATATGTATGTACACATAAGTATTTACGCGCTGACTTTGACTCAAACATATATTATTTATATTACTGCAATAAAATGTTAAAATAAAATATAACCTTTTACATCTTCAAATATTTCCGTTGTTCTCTCTTTAACGCAAAATAATTCAACTAAGCTCGATGTATAGATTTTATAAAATTTGTAAAAATGAAGTATTTGTTCAAAAAGTAAACTCGATATAGCTTGATGTTCTTTGTTGTACATACATATGTATATCCATATATTAGTTTTTATAAATAATTATATATATTTTGTACATAAGCTTAACCATTGAAGAATACTTAGTGCTCATAAAATAGATACATACATATGTATGTATATGTACAAGTAATACAACAATATGTCAGCTATCAACGATTTTGTTCACATATTTAGCTTATTTTAATACCACATGCTTATTTATGTACATACCTATATGTGGTAAATGTGTTTGTATGTGTGTAGATATGACCACACTTTTTGCTTTACATCAAACAATTATGAACTAATGACTTAAATATTTAAAAATAAATCCAAATTGTAGGTAAATGTTAACATATTTTGAGAAGCATTTCATGTGAATAACTATTAATTATATTATTTTCTAATATTTTAGAAATGTTTAACTAAAAAATGAAAATTATCAAAAATTAATTACGATTGTGTATGTAGTCCATTTGAATTTATTAATTTAGATAAATTACAGTATATGTAGATACTTCCAAAAGTAAAAACAACAAATGCAACTCGAAATAATTTATATACCAATAAGAAAATGTGAACGAAATGATGCAACATAACAATAAAGTATATATCATACTTATACATACATGATCGCAGATGTATGGACGATATAAACACAATAGTTTTTGAATTGAAAGTAGGGATCTAAAATAGGTGGTAATTTTTATAAAATATTATTAATGCATCTATGAATATAAATTGGAAATGGATTGCCCGAAGCAAGAATCTGAAGGGGTGAAATTCCGTACTATTTAGACATATGGAGACTTTGACAATTTTTAAATAGTGGCCTCTTTAGCTCAGTGGCAGAGCACTGGTCTTGTAAACCAGGGGTCGTGAGTTCAATCCTCACAGGAGGCAACTAAGTTTAATATTTTTTACACAAACATCAAAATATTTCCGTACTTTGTACTAGTATGTGTTACCAAATATAGCCACAAATTATTAATTTTTTATACAAAAACAGTTCTATTTATTGTAGTTATATTATTTAAATCCCGTGTATTGTAAATTAAGACCTCAGATTTATATTGCATGCCTGTTTATTATAGTATAAATGGGAACACTAATTAATTATACTTTATTTAGGTAAAGAATTTCCTTAAAAATTTATTCATACGGCAACATTGTTCTAAACGTTACTGTATTATGACATAACATTGGTCTAAAATTTTTATATGCCTCTTTAGCTCAGTGGCAGAGCACTGGTCTTGTAAACCAGGGGTCGTGAGTTCAATCCTCACAGGAGGCAAATATCTAAAATATATTTTCCACATGTCTATTATTATTTTTATAATAGTAAAGAGATTTAAAATAAATTAATTTAACATATTTATCCTCTGCTCTTTATTTGACAAAACTACAAAGTCATCTTTGCTTTCTAAAAATTATTAAATATTTACCTTTGAATAACAAAATATCAAACTTTTCAGAAGAAATTATAAATAACACAATATATATAAATGTAGAGGATCATTTATTTAAAATTTTTTCTAATTTAAGTTCCCACTGACCCATTTATTGGCTTATGATAAACAGACGTCTTGCAAATAGTAAAAGAAAAATAAATCACTATTTGTTAAAATACATAGTTTGTATTGTGGATTGTACCATTTTATATAATGTCGAATGGCAATAGTGAGTGGTGAAAACTTTTCGTGTGGTGAGATTTTCCTTGCTGCGAAATCCACAAATTAGTCATTGGAACTTGGGTAATTTGTAATTATAAGATAAATAATTGTAGTTTCTAATCTCATTTATGTCCCTCGCTTGAAATATGTAATTTGGCAAAATGCCGAACATCTGCCTCTTTAGCTCAGTGGCAGAGCACTGGTCTTGTAAACCAGGGGTCGTGAGTTCAATCCTCACAGGAGGCAATAAACAATTAAAATTTTCTCATTTTTTATTAATTTCAGACTACAAAATATTATTTGGGTATATAATTGTACGGATTTAAAACAGAATTTCGAAACATGATAAAACATGTCATAGAACTGTTTTTAAAACAAACAATTTATGTCTTCTACCATTTTTTCTTTTATCTGCATAGTTTGTTATAATCGCAACAAAATGTGTTAGTATTTTTACAAACATGTTTTTCGTAAAAAATTGTATAGACATTGCACATATAGTTAATTTATTTATTCACTATTTAAATACTGGCAACATTTTTGATATCCAACTACTGCCAGATATTTTGGAAATTTTTTAGAGAAGGCATGTCTCCACGACTTCTTTGACATTTGTCATTTTTACTGGTTGTAGTTTTATCGATTAATTCATTAACAATCAACAACACAATCAAAGAAAAGTTTTGCAGCTGAAGTAAATCAACGGAAAAACGCGAAAATATATACTCAGGATTTTGGCTTATGTCAGCAAATACATTTTATTATTTTTCCAAAATAATATATCTTAACGATCGCTGGAAAGATTGCAACAAGCTGAAGATAGTTAATGTATAAGACCTTGAAAATGGTTTCAGCGTCAGATGTAGCCACATATTATTGGAGTGATTCACGGTTTACGACCATTGCGAAAGTCCAGAATTCTTTAGCTACATTTCAATGCGCAATTGAAAACTTTTGAAGTTTTAAATGATTTCCACATATTGAGTAAGAAATAACTCAATCTGTTTAAATTTTAGTCTTTAGAAGGGTCTCAATACAAAATACGTATTTAGCACGTATTTAGCAGTGATGCCCTGCGAGTCGTGTCACGTACAATTTACGGTGTTCCGTCGTAAACGAATATGTGCGGATTGCAAGTAAGTACACTATGTTTTTAATTTATATAAATTTTAGATAATTTTTTATTGTACTTTGTAAAGGCGATTTTACTGCAGTAATTGCTTATCGACGGCCAAACGTCGGACCAGCAACAATGTACAGATTTCTTCGGGAGTGCAGTTGTGCAGACGATGTGTTATTTTCGCTAAGCGACCTCTCCTCCGCACGGATTTGTTACAGCTAAAGCCCAAGGATCTGATTTTTTATCTGCAATCGAAACATGTTTCAACAACTGGTTGTGTTGAAAAGGACGAGTTGGTAGGGTTGGTGCTGACGCATGTACAACAAATTGATGCAGCCGCCGGTGCTTCGGAAAATGGTAGTTCTCGTAGCTACTCCGACGCATCAGCAAATTCATTTGACAGTTTGAAACAGACGTGCCAAAACTTTTTTACAAGTATTACTGAAAACATAAATGATTCTCTAAATTCCTTTGATAATAAAGGTTCACCGAAAGGATCAGGTGATACAAGAGATCGAACGCGATCGGAACGAAGTTCAACTGACAGTACAACGACACACATTTTTGATCAACCAAGAGTTTCAACCAGAGAAATTCCCACTTACGCTAGTTTTCAGCAACAATCTTATAATAACCCTAACACGGAACAATCAACAATAACAACATCATCACCATTACTCACTATTCCACTATCAACAGTGACAACAAATGCGTCACATATATCACCAACGTTGGTGACTAGCAGCTCTTCTTCGGTAACCACCAAGGGTAGTAGTCAATCTTCTGTAAGCCCTGAAATTAGTATAAGCTCAATTGATCGTGGTGAGACGGAAGAGCATCCACTTGCCTCAACTTCAAACAGCCAACGTGCTGGATTGACTCGTCAGGAAGCTGGTGAAGAAAATTCTGATTGTGAATGCTCAGATGATGAGCTAATGGCCACATTTGGTGGTCTTTCATTGGCGCGTAATAACGAAGTGGAGTTATCAAAAAAGGATTCACATAAAAATACTGAACCAGATGAAAACGTTGGTACCAAATCAAGGACCAGTGCTGACATAAATTGTGCTGAGATGTCTTCGCAATCGTCGTTTGAAGAGCTGGGAGCAATTGGCGGTATATCAGATGAGAGTAAAGCAACCACTGACACTAACAGTAGTAACATGGAGCAATGGCAAATCCTTGAAACTACCATGTTGCAAACTGCCGAAAATCCCGTTGTCGAACAATCCACATTGTTGGCTTGCAATATCACTGACACCCCATCGACCAGTAATATTGATAATAATGATGCAATAACAACGAATATGCCAAATGATTTACAAGTGGCATTACCATTTTTGCAGCAGGACCAGGCACAATCCCTTGTACCATTGGTGCCACAACGCGTAAAGAAAGTAACCCGTCGCCGTTCAGATAGCTATCTGAATAGACAACGTCAACAGCACACTAGCGAGGACGATTCTCCAACTGATAACTTTGCACTTAATGCGGATATGACTTTGCATGAACACGATGCTGAGTTAGGTAATAATGCACTTGAGACTGATGAAGATAAAAAAGTTGCCGCTACCAAACGTGCGGGTAGTTGCCAAAGATGTGGAAAACACAAGGCAACGTTGCGTAAACAAGTAGAAAAGATGCGTCGTCATCTGGAAAGTGCTCAACTATCGGAAGCAGATATAAAAAAAGAGCTTCAAGATTTTCTCAGTTACCTCGAACAGCGCAGTAAGTCGATGGAGTGTTCAGATACAGAAACGATGGGATCGTCGTTGAGTGGTAGAAATTTAGCGCAATCGCCAGAGCATCGGCAATCGCAAGCACAACAACCCAATTTCTGGGACGGCGCTGGTATGCCTCACTGGGAATATCAGCTTGACGATAATGAGGGCATTCATGTATATGCTGGTCCCACTTCAGAGCCGAACGATTTTAATGCTCAATCGGCACGTTTTATAAATCTGGACGACTTCGAAAATGTGTAAGTTGATGCTGTCCGTATTATTATTAATATATTGAAATTAATTTGTGAATAATAAAATTTCAAAATTTCATTTAGTGATGACCTCGAAGCCTTATCAGTGAAACAACTAAAAGAGATTTTGATGTTAAATCGAGTTGACTATAAAGGTTGTTGCGAGAAGCAAGAACTGCTTGATCGTGTTCAACGTCTATGGAAGAACTTAAAATCGATGCCAGGTTAGTGTTTTATTATGACATGCAAATCCATTTCTAATTTCGTTCAATTAAATCGTAGCTGTCGACAAGTTGCCTACCGATGAGCTTTGCAAGATATGTATGGACGCACCAATCGAATGTGTCATACTTGAATGTGGGCACATGGCCACTTGCACAAATTGTGGTAAAGTGCTTAGCGAATGCCCTATTTGTCGTCAATATATTGTGCGTGTGGTTCGCTTCTTTCGTGCGTAATTGTCTTGCGGACCATACAAATTGGAATAAGAGGTTTTGTGATGGTGTTAAAAATACTATCTTTTTACTATAGTCTCTAATCTACACCACGTACATAGATGATGTTATGTTAATTTAATTGCATACATTTTAAGTAGCCTTGGGTAAATTCAATCTACTAATTGTAGTAATTTGTGAATATATTAATAACAAACACGGAAGTAAAGGAGTACATTCCAACCCCATCGGATTAGAATTCTGAATCCCCAAACGTATGCTCCAAAAATATTCCCTCTTCCAAATCTCTTTAATTGATGAAATAGCGTTTTAAGTATAAAAATATGTTGAGTTGTACCTTTTTTTTTGTAATGATTGTGTTTTTTTTTTAATAGAAATCTTATAAAATTTTACTTAATTCAATTCATCTGATCATTTTTTTATAGTTTTGTGTTAAGCTTTCAAAACTTGAATGTAAAACTCTTGTTGTTTTCTTTATTAACTACTTCTTGAGTATAAGGAGGAAGATATATCTAACCCATAAGTGCAGTCCAAAATAAAATATCGAGTCTTACCATTGAATGGCGGTGCACTCGTTGTGATGTCAAATACTACGTACTAATACTTACAAATATCCTATATCTATATAGATTTTAGTTAGTATGTAAAATGTAGTCAGTCAGCATCTTGTAAACATAACTTTTCTGCAACGTTTATGTATAAATGTACATATACATATATACAGATTATTCGAAATTGTTAAAGTACAACGTTTTTTGTTTTTATGTAATTAATATTACTAATTAAACACATTCCCAAAGGGTCCAGTATATGCAATATAAAAACAGTACCATGCAATGCAATAAATATTACTTAAAAAAAGCAAAAACAAATGTACATGTAGATATCTTATTGTAAAGGTAATATAATATGAGAAATACGTAGATACATACAATAAATACATATAACTGGATTATATTATAACAAAGATGTATTGACATTGTTAAGATCGCACACAGTTGTGATGAAACCTCTAGTAATCGTCATCATATCCCATATCGAGATTGATAGAAACATTATCAACATATTTGTTATGAGTAACTCTACCATTCTTGTCCAATATGTAGTAAACCTAGCGCACAACTTAATAGTAGTACCTTTTCGAATTGTGATAGTTTCCTGCTACTATTGACTGAAGTTGAAACCCTAACCAATGTTGTTATTGTCATTGCTGTCAATTATTGTTTGGCGGGCATAGTTTGATTATTTTGTTCGATCTGAATTAAATTGTGGAAAAGTGAAAATGGCTTGTCAAGTATTTAATGCTTACGAAGGTTGCGTAGAAGAGATGGCAAACCAGCGCCCATCGCTACAAGACATCGATATAGAGATATTTTCTGAGAATTCACCCAAAGCGAGATCTTTAATTGAAATTTCAGGTGCGTCTGAGTCGGGCAAGAGTGTGCTTCTGTGGCGCCTAATGGCTCGTTGTCTTACACCAACCTATTTTGGGGGTCGGAATTGTGATTTAATTTTTATTGATTTAAGACATAAATTTGATGCTGAAATCTTTGAAGAGCAAATTATACGTTTGGTTGCTGCCTCTGGTGAACAGCATACTACAGCTGAATTACGGGTGATGGTTGAGAAATGTTTTGATTCTCTACATTTATTAAACTGCTATAATTCAAAACATTTTAAAGCAGCTTTAGAAATAGTTGATGGGCTTCTCGTGAAGCATTCAGATTGCTCACTGGTTGTCATTGATGGTTTAGATGCTTTCTATTGGTTGGACACTTATGAGCGTAGAATTCGTATGCAAACACACTATGTGCGTAATGTAGAACGTCTTCGCAGGTTATGCGACCGTCATGGTGTTTGCTGCGCCTACACTATTAATACGAACTATTTGGGCGCAAAGAAATTAAAGGGTGTTGATGATATTTTTGGGCGAACATCCATGCAGACAAGTGTAAAAGTTGAATACAAATTGCAACTGCAACTTGCTAGCAATGGTGAACGTACAATTAATGGAATGGCAGTAGAGATAAGAGACAATTCCTTCTATGTTGTTGAGAAGCAGTAATCAATTATGTAAGTTACATTAGTTTTTAACATGCTAACCTTATTTTAATACATTTTTGTAGGAAATTTACTGCTCTAAAAAAAGATCTTTTATAATTTTTCGAATGATTTAAGCGTTTGCGAGAAAAAATCAACGCAAAAAAAATAATAATAAAAAGTTACAAGTAAGGAACGACAAAGTTCGGTTTTAACCGAACATTTCATACTCTTGCAGCTTGCAAGGAAGACATCCGGGGAAATACTTTCCAGTGTTGGCAAAACTTCATATTAAAATATGTTGAGAAAGAGTTCAACTACATTGTTCGACGAAATCGTGAATGAATTACAATTTGATAATTAATTAAGTCATAGACTGAATTAGTTTTATAACTATATTTTACTTCCAGCCAACGGAAATTATATTGAAATCATCCTCAAACGAGATATATCTGACATAAACTTAACCGAAAAGGCTAAATATAATATATTGAGTAGATGTGCAGAACGTCAACCAGAAGATCCGAATAAATGATATTAGGGATATGAGATTAAGACCAAGGTCTAGACCAACTCCATTCATGTTCAGCGCTGAACCATTAATATAATAAGGTTTGCTAGAATAAAGGACATTATTATATTATATGTAGTACAATATAATTTCACATATTTTCGGCATTAATCTAAAACAATCCAATACTATATGTTCAGTTAATTTTGCTAAAATATCTTACATATTGACCGACATATACGATATAAGGTCAACCGGATGTTTGAAAATCTTTTTATTAGTTATATTGTGGCTAGCGTAGGTTTTCATCCGATTTTATACATATTATCAAACTATTTTTGACATACAGACATACGAATATCAGGAAAGCGCTCTCTGCTAATTTCAGTTATATATCTCACACATTAACCGATATTTTCGGCAAAGAGTCAGCTATAGGCTCTGGGGTCCACATTCCCGGTAATTGGGGGCTTGAATAGTTTTCGTAAGATTTTTTTATATTTTTTTAAGTCATAAGGTGGCACACCTCAAAGGCACTATTCGTGGAAAGTTTTATCGGTATACATTGATGGGTTCTTGTTTTGTATATTGGAATGTGAAAAAATCAGATGAGATTTAAAATTGTGTTGTGCGGGAAGTAAGTGTGATTTTTATCCGATATCTCCCACTTTCGCACTGTAACAGGGAATGTCAAAATAATGCAATATCATAATACCAAATTTGGTTGAAATTGTTATAGTAAGTCCGGAGATATGTGATTTCACCTAAATGTAAGCGGTCTCAGTTTTATCGTCCAATTTTGACATCGGCTCTTATAAAGCCCTCTAATACCATCCCGGATGCAAAATTTCATGTCTGTGATGCCTTGAGTTATTGATTTATCGAACTTTAAGTAGTTTTTAACAAAACGGTTATATGGGGAGTAGGCGTGATTATCATCCGATTTCACCTATTTTCACGCTGTTACAAGTGGTGTCGAAATGATTTGTTCTGTGCAAATTTTTGTGATGAAGCTTGAATGGTTTGGGAGATATGCATTAAACCTGGGGGCGGGGCCACGCCCACTTTTTCAATATTTTCAAACTACAGGTGCCCCTTGTTATTGCGATTCTTTGTATTTGGACATACAGACAGGATGACGAGACGCCCTGATCATTTATGTGTATGGATTATAACTATATCTATCTAGATTAGTTTTAGGTGTTACAAAAAACCTTTAGGTGTACGAAACTATTATATTCTGTAGCAACATGTTGCAAGAGTATAAAAACGCTGACCATTTACCGTTGATCTGAGCGCAAAAATCTACCATTCCAAATATAACATTTCAAGTTGTAAATAATTCTTATTAAGCCCTTCTTTCATTAATTAATTTATTTTTTTAAATAAAGCAGTCTTGGTAAAAACATATTTAATAACAATTGTACAAGTTTACGATAAATACACTTTATCATATATGCACTTAAGAAATCAACCTCTCCAAGAATTGAAATGACTCTTGAATGTGCCTACATATCTAATAAGCAATTTTAAATAATTAAGTAGACTAGAGCTGTAACTGTTTAGTTCTTAAGTATTTTATCATTTTCATGTTACATTTTCGACCATACTATGTTATTCGACTAGAGACTTCAACTGATTCGCAACTAGTCATCCCGCTTAGAAATCTAGAATAAATATTTATGCGTCTAAATGTTATTACTAGTTTTTTAACATATATTCAACTACGATTAACCCGCAAATCTAGCGGTGTTTCCGACTCCATAGTTCGCACAGGTCTTTCAGCGTTACGTGCATTAGAATTCCAACCATTGCTGGATCCAGTACTGCTGCCTGCTGATAATTGACTTGTCGCGGCATAATAATAATCGAGTTGAGATGGCTTGATGTTGCAAACATCCTCGTCCATAGCATTAAAATAGTAGTGAGGTGGCGGTGGCGGTGGCACACAGAGCTGACAAACTGGTATTGCGGCGTCGCTGTAACCTTTCGCATAGTGATCATCATGTACATGATGATTTCTACCCAATATAACAGTGTTCAGAGTTGAAGATGTAATTGTGCTGGGTGTGTGTGTTTGTAAAGCAGCGTGTGCTGATTCTGTTTCTGTATCAATAATGGGATTCTGAACGGTTGCAATAGCGGCGGTGCCAATTAATTGTACAGAATGTTTGAAAGTTTTTACGTGTTTACGTAATGATGAGGGATCCGTGTAGCGTTTTTGACAACCGGGCACTTTACACATATAGGGTTTATCCATAGCATGAGTGCGAGTATGTTTGAACCGATCCGAAGAGTTCGAATAGGCCTTGTTGCAACCTTCATAAGTACAGAGGTATGGTTTCTCGCCGGAATGCGAACGTATATGAATCTTAAGATTCTCTGCACGTGAGAAACTCTTTATGCAGAGATGGCATTGGTGAGGTTTCTCCTTAGTGTGAGTGCGGGCATGTACCAGCATCTTATATCGTGCTGAGAATCCGCGCACTCGTGTACATCCATGCCAACGGCAATAATATAAACCATCGGCTGGTGAAGCTACGGCATGCACTTTGGTCACATGGACGGCCAATGATTCGAGTGTACTGTGATCTCTGTAATTTAAACAAAACGTAGATATTGTAAATAAAACAAATAACTACAGATTTCGAAAAGTATGCGTAACAAAAAGAAGGTGTGTGGTGTACTGTTATTTGAAGGGTGAGTGAATGACGAAATCAGAGGGAAAATGTGACGTGCTCATTTAATACCACAAGGGTATAGTAAAAAAAAAATTGGTGATTAAATTTTTTTTTATGGTAAACGTGTATAAATATAAAATAGTTTGTAAATGTGTCGCCGCAGATTTTAAGGTGTTGTATATTTTTATGACGTACAATGACGAATCTTATCAGTTTAGGAAGTGGTTTAATTCCATAAGAAGGCGCAATAAAACAAAAATGATTATTAGTTTTTTTTTTTTTTTTTTTTTTTTTGTTGGGTTACAACTCACCTGCCGCAATCAATCCATTCGCAGACGTATTCACTACGTTTTGGGGTCGAACTAGCGCTGCTAGTCGAGGACGTGTGCATTGTCATCGTTTCATGACGATTTATCTCTGGGCTTATTGTAGTGTCTTCCAAGCCAATTATGTCCACTGCCATATCGTCGACATGTTCTGGTGTTGGTGGAATATTGCTATCCAAATGGTCTTGTCCGATTTTCATAATTACTGATTTTGTGCGTACGTTGGGAGTTTGTGTATTGGCTGGTAATTTATGTGTGTTCTTATAATATGGTGGTGTTATTGGGGGTGTAGGAAATCTTAAATGATGCATTTGCAGTGCCTCATCAATAGACGTTGGCGATGTTTGAGTTAGTTGTGATGACAATAAATCCAAGTGACTCCAGCCTTCATAGGCGGCCAAAGCGACCGAGGCGGCGCTTAATTGCTGATAATAGGCACTAGTTGGCACAAAGGCAGAGTTGAAACTACTGCTAAGAAATTTAGAATTTTGTACTGCCATTGCGTAGCAGATTTTGTAGTTTTTATTTATTATAGTAAATAGTTAGTACTTTTTATTTTTGACGGTCAACTTTTGGCTATTTGGAATCTTAAACTTTCAGTTATTATTATTTTTTTTTGTTTTGTTTTTGTGTTTGTGTTTAGAACCGTTGTCTAGAGCGAATTCACGACAACTGAGTGCGTTTGTTAGCGAACACTCTCATATATGGGTAAGCAGAAGCGTGTGCGATAAGAAGCACACATCTTATCAGCCACCTTCTACATACTGAACGAGTAGTTATAGAGTATGTTATTTACGTAGTGAATTTAAATGCAGACAGGCGAGCGGGGGTGCGCGAAAGGTTTGATCAACGGCTATCAGGCAGACAGTCTAAGTTAGCAGGAGTGAGTGGCTATTTTTAACTGGCATAGCTGTGCGAAAACCCATTTGGGCTTCCATCAGCGCAATAAAAGTGGTCGATTTCACGCACCAGCCAATGTATGCCGCTCAAAACTAATTCACTTGTACACGCACTGAATCGTGGGGTATGCTTATCTCGTCGCTGGCGGTTGCTCGTGTAACACCCAAATTTAGCTGTGTAAAACGTTTGTATGATTACGCATGTGCAATCGTCGTTGTTTGTTATCGCGCTACGTGCGGCCAAGAGTAAATAAATAAATATCATTGGCACTGGGGGCGTTGTTGTTGCTGTCTGCTATTCTTTGATTGTTAGCGCCGCTTTCACTAGGGGATCTCAGACTTCTAGTTTCAGCCACAAGCGAAGTTAAGCGGCTACGTTAGCTCTGTTAAGTGCTATTAGAGGGAGTGGCTAATGTGCCGGTTTATGTCTATGCACTATCGCTCGAGTCACTAATTGTCGTCTAAGTGCTATCATTTACATTGTTAATATTCTTTAGGGATTCAAGTAGTTGATCGATATGAAAATTGCTTAAATGCAGAAAGAGTTAGAAGTGCGCTAAGGTATAAATTTGTTAAAAATATTATATATGTTGCCTCTCATGTGTTTGTCTGGTGTCTGCTGATCCCTGATAACACATCAACATGTCCACAATTTTCCGCTATTCGCAGCGCGGGCTGACGCCAATGATCTTGAAATTTACCAACTAGCAACAAAAATAATACGCTGCCATATCAAAATAACCACCCAGACACTCTATCTATATAAATAAATACCGGTCATAAAAATTGACTTTTCGCATGGGTAAGTGGTAACACGGGTAAGTCTGCTCAACAAATCGTTGCGGACCAGCCCAAAAGCCTTATCATACGCTCGTGTTAATTCTTCGTCGTGGTGCTTAAAAGTCCAGAGTACTAGATCGTAGGAAGTAAACATCGGCAGTGAGTGAGTCGATATTGCTATTGGCGTTTTATTGTTTCGCGTCGTTTGCTTCATTTAATGAATATGGATGGAGATGTTCGGTATTGTGCGATGCTCTACAACTCAACAATGATTCACGACAACGAAATCGTGTCTCTCTCTTTGTGAAATCGGCAATATACGTACATATGCATATACACACGTGCATTAGAAATATTTCATATATACACATATTTATATACATGCATACATACATACGTGTGTAAATATTTAAATATTTACACTTCTCACTTTCTTCTCACTGCTGCTATCACACTACGTAACAGGTGTGGGTTGCTTGTGATATAGCCTTTCTCAACCCTAACGTTCCATTTCGGTTTTAATTATTTAGGAAGATATCAGTTGCTTTATTTTAGATAAGAAATTTTTTGCTTTTGACTTGCTATAAATTTTATGAGTCCAAATGTCTCAACTTGAGTTTATCATATGCTTATATTATATACATATAAATATAATATGATATTTAGTAGCAGCAGCTTGTAGTCAGCAATGGCAATTGTGTTCTCTGATTAAGTAACATATTACTTTAATAATTAAATTTTATTGTATAGTCTTTCAAAAAAACTCAATTGGACTGACTTAAATGCGGGAATGCAATAGGTTGAACTAATTTAGCGTTTGGTAAATTTCAATTTTCCGAAATTACGAAAATATTCGAAGTAGTTTAGTCCTAAAATTTTACTATTTAATTTATTAATCTAATTGTAGAAATTTCAGAAAATAAACTAACCTTTTCGCCCCGCTGCTACCGCGGCAGATTTACCGATTAAAAGCGGAATATGTTTATTTACAATTATTTAAAAATAAATTACACTGCGACTTTCCATTAATACATTTTAGTAAACGCCAACATTTTACTTAATATTACAAAAACTTGTACTTAGTGAGTACACATATATACATATGTATATGATACATACTCGTATATGTATTTAATTTCGGTTCAGCTAACTGGCTGTAACCGGTTCTTAAAAATTGCGTCGTCAGCTGTCGGTTCTGAGGCTGTAGTTGAACTTTGATCCGATCATGCTGATAATAGCCCCCAGCTGATAAATACCTATATATTTACACACTTGGCTGATGATTTGCCTAGAAGCATGCCTTGCCAAAAAAAAAATAATTAAATAAATAAATAATTAAATAAACGATCCGAAACACCGAGCTCAGCCAGTGAATGAGTGATTCGTCAATATTCGTATTAAAATCCCAATTTTCGTTTGTATGCTACAGGAGCACACGTGCCAACATTTCACAAATTAAAGAAGCAAAATAAATAAAAACAAGAAAAAACGTTAATTTCAGTTGCAACGAATCTATAATACCCTTCACAAATAAATAAGTTTTCCATACAACGACTTAAATTTGTTCGATCAGTTTGTATGACAGTCATATGTTATAATGATCCGATCTGAACAATTTTCACGGTGATTGTATCGTTGACATGGACAACTTCGTGAAGATATCTCATCAAATACAAAAGTTTTTCATACAAGAACTTAATTCGTTCAGTTTGTATCGCATCTATATGCTATAGTTGTCCGATGGTTCCAACAAATGAGCAGCTTCTTGGTGAATAAAGGACGTGTGCAAAATTTCAGATCGATATGTCAAAAACTGAGAGCCAATTCGTGTATATATACAGACATATATAGACAGACAGAGGGGCAGTTGGACAGTTGGTATTTAAGTTTACATACATATATTGCATAATCAAATGGTAAGTATGAGTTTATTTAAGAAAAATCTCTATCTCTCAAAGAGTTATTTGTTACGGACCAAGGACTGTTAACCAGACACGTGCTGAACTTAGTGATCCAGGATCACACAGGACATTAGTTTGATCTGCAGACCATATTCCTGCCAAAAATTATCGACGAAACTTGTACAAAGTGACTAAACTCCATTAAGCATTATTCATAATACTGGATGCAAGGCTAGATTGATGGTAATCAAGGTTGAAAATCAGTCTAGACTTTCACGCTCATAAAAATCTAGTTCTAGAACAGATCGCATAGCAAATTATGTATGGAGAAAAGATAATATTTAGAGAATTGCGTCAGAAATACAATTTTGTATAGCTTCATCCAACACCCACTTCATGCATAATCCCACAATAAAATCGTGACATATACTTACATATTGTATATGTATGTATATCTAAAATAACACTGTATGAAGACCAATTTGCAACAAACTTAGCGCAAAGTACAATTCGTACTGTAGTGTGTGCTATAAATACGAGAAGCACTCAGACAGGCACTCATACTAGTTTGAAGTAGTTCGTTGGTGTGCTGATTAGAAGTGAGCGATCCCAATAGATTTAATGGCCGGCACTTCAGTCAAGCGATAACTACAGTCCAATTAGTATGCGTACATGTGTATGGAGTGATACATATTGTTGTTGTTGTGAGTGTTGGCGGTTATTGAGACGATTAGGTTGGCTAGTCGTATACCATTGAGATTAGCGAACACTCACGCCGCAACAGAACGCCGCCGCTGCTGGTGGTATTACCCAATACAATAATAACCCAAGCGCACATACTCACATATATAATTACGGGAATGTATGTACATATATATGAACATTTCCATGTATAGAGAAATTGAAGTGAACATGTGATGTGGCGGGACGCAGTGCCTGATCGTCGTGTATTTATGACTTATTGTATGTTGATATTAATGTATGGCGCCTGCGGTGCTACTACTATAGCTGTGTGAATTTGTTGTACTGTTCTTTTCGCATGAACTCTGTGAGTATCAAGGACTCGCATCTGTCTGCGTGTTATCACTGCGTTGGCTTTGCAGAATGTTGCGCAGCTGTTGTAATGTCATCTTCGTACCATAGTCCAATCGAGTAGGCATCCAACCAAGTGGGACGAGTGTGGCGAGACACATTGCCTGTCAGGCGCTCAAATGTTATGTTAGTGCTTCTCATTTAAAAGCATGAGATTGGCCAGACGGACAAAGTCCAAACGCGCCTATGTCTCTCTGATATCGCCTACGCCACTACATATGCACATTTTGATTGTGAGTTCTAGGCATTGTTCGATCCCACACATTCTTTATTGCAATCATAATAGCCACCATCCTCAATAAAGCTCGCCTCTGTGTTGGCAAATCAATAAAAAGTAATAAGTAGTAAAAAAAAAATTAATTCTATTAACACGCGTCAATTGCGCTGATCTAGTCTGATCAATTGTCATTAGAAATGAAATCTATCAATATGCTTTGGTAACCTATAATATTGATTGATATTGCATGGGGCGCATGAACATAAAAATCGTGTGTTCAAATTCTAGCAATAATATAGTACTAAGCGTAAATCATTTCAGAATATTTGCTGTTTTTCGAAGAGCGCTCAGCTCAAAAAAATTTCGGCCTAATTCTGTCCGACCACATCTAAAGCATTATACACATACATACATATATGCTAATACTAATTTTTATTATTAATAATGTTGTTAATAAAAATATTCAGATGTCCACCCCATCACTGCATGTGTGACAAAGTGTGATTAGCGGTTATTAATAAATACATAAGCATGTACATATGTATGTATGTACATACCATAAACCGTTCTTCAAATGGACCAGTCTATCTTGTTTCCAATATGTACACGGAACTGTTATATTATGTAAAAGTACACTTCAGCCGTGTCCATTATTTTTACCATACTCAGCATACCAACAATAAACACACCAAACACGAGCAGACAGCATGGTAAATACGTAATTTTTTTTGTTGATACATTTTTTTTTATTGTATTCTGAAATTTTAGATAATCACGTCTAGAATTTCGCAGCAACAACAAAATTGGAGTACCAACAAAACTTCGGTCTGTTTAGGTGCGATAATATATTTTTGACATTCAAGTTTTTAAGCAAATAAACCAATAAACTACCTCATGGTTGGCATGTACAAGTGTGGTTATTTTTGTTATAAATCGCATACAAATAAAAACAAATTAAAGGAAATAGCTGTATTCAGGTGCAGTTATCCTTATTAATTAATTATTTTCTGTTTAAGTATTATTTTATTTGTACCAGATTTAAAATTGTATGTATAGTATTAAATAATTAATTAAATTAATTGCTTTAATGTCAGAACAGTTCTATGTATGCATATCGTCATAACATATCTACATATCGTCATCTAAAATGCAAAATAATGTAATATCACTTTTCATAAGTTTACAGGAGAAGGAAAAAACAATATAAAGTAGAAAATACGCATATTGAAACCAATTTTGAATGAATTACAACTTTTTTATGTCTAAAGTTTCTAAATAAAACTGTATATTAAATTATATAAAAAAAATCTGAAGTTTAAAATAAACATAATACAGCGAATCGTAATCAATTAAAAAACTCAATTTAAATTTTTTGATGAAACGTTGTTTTGCATTTTAGGTGATGTTGTTGTTGTTGTTGTAGCGGCAGAATTCTGCCGAATTGACATTTTAGGTGATAATATATTATTATAAATACTTTAAAAGTAAAAGCAGAGCGTGACACATCTGACTGTGAAACAATACAATTGTTACTTAATAATTAAGCTTGTATTTACATTTTATAGTAAATAAATTTACAGCCAGATGACTATATTCTGAGCGTATTGTTTTTGAAAAGTACTTATGTTGCATGTGTAATTTATTTATGTTAATAGTTGCTAATAACAAAAATAATTGAAAAATAAGAAAACGCGACTACTTTTTTTGCTCGGAAATAAAAATATACCATGTAGATGCATTGCAATCTATGAGTAATGCTGGGGCGAATGCCTACATGTACATAAGAGTTTCGGGTAGCTTCGTCAACTTGCCCTTAATAAACTCGTAAAAACGTTTAGCAGAAATCTTGGGTAGGGCTCTCAAGAGAGTCAATACAGTATATGACTGCAGCATGCTTGCTTTGTTTAATTTTATTCATAAATTTGTTTAAATGAAACCACGAGTGCGCCTAAAAGATGATTACGTGCAGTGATTATATTCATGCTATTTCAACAAATTATTTTGTAATTCTAAACGTTTCAAATCGTAAATGGAATAATTCGTTTACGTCTTTTTAAAAGTTATGTATATAACTCTACTTGCCCATAATCGTGTAAATATGCGCTTAATCAGATTTGTTACATCTGGAGAATTTAGAAGATTGTGAGACAGTTAAGTTAAAATATTACAACGAAAAAGCAAAATCATTTTTGTATTCAAAATGTACATACGTGAAACGGTTAAAGTAAATATGATTTTTTAAACTTTTCGTATAGCAGCAATATTTTATGCGTAGATTAATTAGTATGTATAATTCATAATTGGTAATATATAACCTAACTGAGCACTATATTTGATAATTGCACTATACATATTTACAATCACTTTATATTGTGTTTTATTATTTGCAATTAATTTAAATTAGCACTTATAATCAAAGCAAAAACACAAAAAATTTGTTTGCTTTGCTTATATACGAATGTATGTATGTATAGAATCGAGTTTAACAAACAAATTAAAAATGAGTTGGATTCCAAATAGCCCAGTTGCCCAGTTATTTAAACATAAGCATGTGCACAATAACAAAAAATTATATCATATTTTAAATTTGTAATTTTACGCGGAATAAATCGTTTTAAATGTTGTATATAAAATAATACCCGCACGTTAATGATCGCAACGCTAAGAGCAGAGTGTAAACGACGATCTTACAAATATGAAAGGAGTTAAGTGGGGGGTCCTTATGGCCTAAACCGAACAAACAAACAACGCTGATGCAGTGGAAGCATGAAAGACCTGGCTGCAATGCTGGAAATAGAATTTATAAGACGTGTAAAAATAGGTTGCATTCAACACAGTGACCCTCCACGGCCTTCAAAATTCGAATAATAGTGTGCGCTATTGGTGTTGCATGCGTTGGCAATGAAACCCGTCAAATTTATAAACAAGTTTTATTGAAGCAATTTTAAGTATTTCATCTCTTAAACTAATCTTACATGTTTAACATTTAATTTAAAAATAAAGTTTTGTAAATTTTTTTTTTAGTAAGAAAGCATTTGAATATATTTTCATATTGATATTACTGGCATGGCAGTATGGTATACTGTTGGTGTTGTTTTTGAAACCCATTGCTATCTTTTATGCTTACACATTCGCGCATATCCAGTCGCTTAAAGCTTTTTCTATGTTAGCGCCATCAATGTCATTAGTTTGTACATTGCAGCTTACTATAAATTGCCGTTTGTAACGTTTGCTCCATAAATCAGCTAATCGTTGCGAATTAGAGGCATATTCTGGCCCAAATAATGTTGTGCTTGACGAGGATGCTCCGCCACCTACCGCTGGACATGCAACTCCCATTTCATTTAGGCTTTCATTGCCTTGAGGAGATATGGTAACCAAAGTACCTAAATTCATACGCAGCATGCGTACTGTCAACTTTCTACCCTTAACATCCAAGTGTGTGCCGCAGGAAGTAAAGCCGGTATCTTCGTCATTCGTCTTGGACGATACGCCATTTACGTCTTCATTGGTTTTATTTAATGTAACTGCATCCATTTTCTAGTATTCTTGGTTTTAAATTTAATATTTTATTAATACTATATATTATTATTCATTAATTTAGAAAAACTTTGTCATTGTTAGAAAAAAATAATAACAAATAATTGTCAGAAACAAAGAGATGCCATGTTAAAATTAAAAGTTGTAAAACTTGAACAAGAAGAAATTCCTCAATTGAGACTATACGGAAACTAACTCTACTATAATCCACTTACGTTGAGTTTATATTTATATAAAATATGTTTAAATTTTTTAATGTAAAAATATTAATAAAAGTTTCTTGCCATACTATATTAAATAAAGTTTGATAACTGATTAATACAAAAGGTACTATTTTGTGAAGTATTACACACCGTTGCGATTTTGTTTTAGTTACTTATTCAATGCAACCATGTGTTTGTTTATCCCATGAGCATTGCAAGCTCTGACAACAACATGCGAGTATGTCAACTGTCATATTTTCTACACGTGCCGTTTTTCCTTTAATATTTTAGCTGGGAAATAATTTATTTATTTGTTTCATAATTTGTGCATAAAAAATGGCAAAGAAACAAGTTAAACGAAAAGCAGCAGATTTTGTTGACAAGAAAAAATTAAAAGATTCAGAGATAAAGACTGCGGATGACGATGAGGAAGAGCAAGACTTACAAGAGGTAATTTTTTTATGATAGTTGATGGAATGTAACACTGGGCTAATGTTTTTGATAGGATTTGCTGCAGAAAATATCAAATGAAGACAACGATAGTTCTGACGATGAAGGAACAGAACAAATTTACCAATCTGATGACAGCGACGAGTTGGAATTTGAAAGCGACGAAGAAGGTAATTACGCTTCTAAATGGGATGAAGGTGTCGAATCTGAAAACAGTGATGATGAGGAAGCAGAGTCAGAGGATGAAGATGAAATCAACGAGTCGGATATTGAAGATATTTCTGATGAAGGAGATTATGAAAGCGATGAAGTTTCTACAGAAGAAACCCTTTTAAAAGAGCGCGATTTACAAAAAAACAAAAAATCAGATGGAAATAGTAAAAAAAATGGGTTAGAAGCCAGTACATCCGCAAGTGCAAAAAAAGAGCTTGAGATGCAAAAAGTTAAAACAAATGAAGCCTTAAATGATTTTAAAGAAGAGCTTAAAGATTCGAATAATGCGTTGGTTATACCAGCTAAAAAGGAGGAATATGAAGACTCTGATACCTCGGATGAGGAAGATATACGAAACACCGTTGGAAATATTCCGATGCATTGGTATGACGAATACAAACATATTGGTTATGATTGGGATGCGAAGAAAATTATAAAACCAACAAAAGGAGATCAAATTGATGACTTTTTGCGGAAAATTGAGGATCCAGAATTCTGGCGTAGTGTAAAAGACCCTCAAACTGGACAAGAAGTTGTACTAACTGATGCGGACATCGAACTTATCAAGCGAATTAATTCAGCCCGTGTACCCAATCCAGAGCATAATGAATACGAACCATGGATAGAATGGTTCACATCTGAGGTGGAACGAATGCCGATTAAAAATGTGCCTGATCACAAGCGTTCGTTTTTGCCATCCTCATCAGAGCGTAAGAAGGTTTCGCGTATGATACACGCTCTTAAAATGGGTTGGATGAAAACTATGGAGGAGGTGGAACGTGAAAAGAAAGCAGCACGTGGACCTAAGTTTTATATGTTGTGGGAAACGGATACAAGTCGCGAGCAAATGCGTCGCATACACGACCCGGTGTCAGCGCCCAAACGAGATTTACCCGGTCATGCAGAGTCTTACAATCCACCACCAGAATATCTATTTGATGAGAGAGAACAGAAGGAATGGTTAAAACTCAAAGATGAACCATACAAGCGTAAATTACATTTCATGCCACAACAGTATAAGTCACTACGTGAAGTGCCTGCATATCCACGTTTTATACGAGAACGTTTCATGCGTTGCTTGGATCTTTATTTGTGTCCTCGTGCTAGACGTACTAAGTTAAATATTGATGCAGAATATTTGATACCGAAATTGCCTTCACCAAAAGATTTACAACCCTTTCCCACAGTGGAGAGTTTGGTGTATCGTGGGCATACAGACTTGGTGCGCACCGTTAGTGTGGAACCCAAGGGAGAATATATTGTTTCTGGATCGGATGATAAAACTGTTAAAAGTTAGTGTAGTTATATTAGCTATTTAAATAAATATTTTTTTTGGCTAATTGCAAATTATATGAAATTCTCTTGCAGTTTGGGAAATTGCCACTGGCCGGTGCATACGTACAATAGAGACTGATGATGTTGTGCGTTGTGTTGCTTGGTGTCCAAATGCTAAGTTGTCCATTATAGCAGTTGCTGCTGGTAATCGGTTGCTCTTGATTAATCCAAAAGTTGGTGATAAGTTGCTCATAAAAAAAACTGACGATCTGTTGGCTGAAGCACCACAAATTGACACAATGGAAAGTGAACGCATCAAGACGGCGGTACAATGGTCCGTGGCTGAAAAGGAAGAGCAAGAAAAGGGTGTTCGTTTAGTTATCACACATTTTAAGCCTATCCAACAAGTGACATGGCACGGACGTGGTGACTACGTTGCAACGGTTATGCCTGAAGGTGCCAATCGTTCAGCGCTTATTCATCAACTGTCTAAAAGACGTTCACAAATACCATTCTCCAAGAGTAAGGGTCTCATACAATGTGTATTGTTCCATCCCATCAAACCATGCTTCTTTGTAGCGGTAATACACTTATATTTATGTAAACAATTGAAAACTAATTTATATGTTTGCGTGTTTTTAGACACAACACAATGTGCGCATTTACGATTTAGTTAAACAAGAACTAATCAAGAAATTGCTGACAAACTCAAAATGGATTTCGGGTATGTCCATACATCCCAAAGGCGATAACTTGTTGGTATCGACATATGATAAAAAGATGCTCTGGTTCGATTTGGATTTGTCAACCAAACCATACCAAACTTTACGTCTACACAAGAATGCTGTTCGCAACGTCGCTTTCCATTTACGTTATCCACTTTTCGCTTCCGCCAGTGACGATCTATCTGTTATTGTGTCGCACGGTATGGTTTACAAGTAAGTTGATTTCGAAATAATTTGCAAATTCTATTTTTACTATGCAATATGAAATTTCAGTGATTTGCTGCAAAATCCGTTGATCGTGCCAGTGAAAAAGTTGCAGACTCACGAAGCACGTGAGGAATTTGGTGTGTTAGATGTTGCTTGGCATCCAGTACAGCCATGGGTATTTTCTTCAGGTGCAGATGCTACAATTAGGCTTTACACGTAGTTAAATGTAGTTTTTTTTTATATTTTATTATTGAATTATTGCATACTTAATGTAAGCAACAATATAAAAAATAGTGAACAAAGCTAAATAAAAAAAAAAAGCTAGAATAACCTTCAAAAGTAAAAACGTTTCCATTTAAGAACTTGATTTTGAACGTTCAGTTTGTGTGGCTGCTATAAGCCACAGTGATCCGATCTGAACATTTTGTACGGAGATTGTACAGTTGACTTTATTAATAATAAACATGCTAAATTTCGTAAAAATATGTTGTTAAATAAAAAAGTATTCTTTACAAGAACTTAATTTCGATCCTTCAGTGATTCGATATCGACGTTTCCGAAAAATGAACAGCTTCTTGGTGAGTAAAGAATGTGTGTAAAACTGCCAATTGATATCTCAAAAACTGAAGAACTAGTTTGTATACATACAGACGTACATGGCTAAACGTCTCAGCTTGTCATGCAGATATATATATTTTATACAATCTCCGACGTTTCCCTCTGCGTGTTATAAGCTTCGTGGCAAAGGAGATGGGGCTGCATAACACTAAAATTACCGCTTAGTTGTTCGAAATTAGTCGAAAGTAGATAAAAACCAACTGTCTTCGGAGACTTAGTGTAAACAGAGTTTTCAGCATTTCCTTTCCGTTAAGTCCACGACACCGCGCCCGGGCGCTACAATTTTCCACATCCTCTACAATAACAAAGCATTTGTTTTGGTATACCTTAGGCATATATACACTAGTACACTAACGAACGGAATGAATGAAAAAAGAATGCACGCGCTGATACTCACATATGTTGTTGATAAAAGCATAACAAAAATTCACTCGGTTATCTTCGTGCAAGTTCTGAAGAGTTTGATTATAAGTTGGAGGGTGGAGGGCGGCTCTCTTCACCCCAGTGGATGGCATGTGCAGAGCGTCTACGGCAGTTCGTTTAACGCGAGAGTAGCAGGTGAGCGGAAATAAGAGCGATTAAGCTCCCAAAACACAACACGACAAACGGTGAGAGCGTCCCACGTACATTGTTATCTACCTGCTGATTTCGGACCGTTGGAAACACCGAAGCTTTTTAGCCAAAAATTCAACGTTGTTATCGAGTGTACGAGCTAGCGGTCGACATACAAGAACAACGAAGAGCAAGCTTTTTATGATATGTTCAATGAACATTGTTCATATGTATGTACCTATGTATGTATGTATGTATTGTCGTTGGTATTTATTGCGAAAGCGCTCGCTTTTCTTTCTAAATGTCGAAAAGAAGAATGTATTCACAAATTTGAGTAAGTTGGAGCTCGGCCGACTGGCAGTTAGGTGGGCAGCAGACACACGAGCAATCGTAGGAATTGTTGTGTTTGTTGTTGCGCTGCCGACGCTGTTCGCCACGGCGACTGGAAGTTTGTAATCGCGCACGGAACGGAATGGCGGCGCCACTGCTGCTGGCCGTGCTCCTGGTCGAGTGTTTCGTTCGAAATCAGTTTGATTCGCTCTACCATAGCCAAACGGTCGGGTTCAGGTGGTCAGTGGCCCGCTGGGAGTACCACATATAGAGTGCTGCTGCTTGGGCAAGAATATCTTGAAAATATCTACATTAAATAACAAAATAAAATATAAAAAAACGAAAAGAAAAAAAAAATGAAAAAAATTTGTTCTAATCAGCCAAGCGAAGTACTCTCCAAATCAACGGCCAAGTGTAAGCATACATACATATGTATAATAGTACAACGAGACGGGATAAATATTTGAAAAAAAAAAAAAATTGTGAAAGGTGCGAGCGGAAAGCAAAATGCCATTATTTTTTTAAGTGCGAAAATTAGAAAGAAAAATTTACAAAAAGTGTATATAGTGTGGAAAAATCGCTGTGCCTGTGTATGTGTGTGTGTAGCGTAAAAACGACGCTGATTGGCGCGACACAGCGCGAAGTTGGGGCCAAACAGCAGCGGTGCGGAGCAGAAGCGCCTACATATATACATAGCCAAACAAGCAAGCATATACACCGTTATCGCGCACACATACATACATATTCGTTTGTGTATTACAAATGTACATATGTACTAGCTACCCTAAAATAAACGTCCCGCTCGCGGAAAATCTGTACCCATTGTCGTTTGGTCAACATCGGGAATAGCAGCGTCGTCGGGACGTTGGCGTTGGCGATGGCGTGTACGTCGACGCTTACGTTGCTGCGTCGTCGTCATGCTCATCGACTACTACAAAAACATTCGCATATATGTATATATGTGTATGTGTGTGAGCGTAATGTTTGGTTTTAGCATATTTTGCCAGTGTGTGTGAGTTTTTGCATGCGTGCGCAGCCAACGTCGTCGTTGTTGGCATTGCAAATATGATCGTTGTACTGCTGGAATGAAATGAAAACAAAAATACATAAAAATAAGTAAAGAATTCAAAAGTAACTATAAAAAGTGTCAAGATCAGCTAGGAGACATATTGAAATCTTTGGAAAAAATATGCATTATATACATATGTACATACATGCATACATATGCACATCTGTATAATAAAACATTCATTTGTTGTTTACCAATTTTAAATCGGTAATATTAATTGTTAAAAAAGACAGAACAAATTAAAAAAAATTTTAATGCAAAAAATTATTAATTTAATTATAAATTTCTCATATGCATTTGAGAATAAACAAATATCATTTATTGAGAAAATTTGATATCTCGACCATATCAAAAATAATAATAATAATAATAATAATAATACTATTAGTAATAAGAATAATAATAATAATAATAATAATAATATTAACAATAATAATAAATCAAACTAAAAAAGAAAATAAAATTGTTACGAAATTCTGAATTGAGTTATTTTCTGAATTTTTTATTTGCAATGAAAACTTCTGAAGATCTTTGCAAAGGATGCTTTGACAAAAAAATTCATTTTGCTAAACTTAAAGTTTTAAATTTAAAAATTGATAAAAAAATATTAGGCAATTTTTATATCTACTTAAAAGTGTATATATAATGAAGAATGGTTGAGAGGACATTGTGCATTCTTTACACTGTACATTTTTATTTATAAAGAACATGGCGACACCTTGCTGCCAACATCTGCGTGAATTTTTGCAAAAATTTCGTATCACGCGTTTGAAAGTCAGCTGGCTTTATTAACAAATTTGGCGTACACGCACGTAGCTGTGGTTGTGTTAGTACGCCCCTAATAGATTCACTACTGACAATCTGAAAGCTTTCACTAGCGTGTGCGCTCTTTTCAAACTTCATTACGCTGAAGCTATTATACATACATACTTTCTTTTCGCGGCACACACACGTACATAGCTATGGTAGAGTGCTGTAAAAATCTGTTTAAGTGACTTTGTGTTTTTCTAATATTCACATAAGAAGAAATGGTAATAATAAAAAAAATATAAAAAAAAGCAGCAAACTTTTGAATTTACCGCCCATTCACGCGCCTTTATAAATGTCTGCAGTAACGTACGTATGTATATATGTAAGGCAGCTAATGCGAGACACTTTAAAATTCCAGTAACAGCATTTACTACTCTGCTCCGGCATCATCCTGTCCCGTATGGCGCCAGTCTTCACATATATATTTGCATAGGTGTATTCGTAGTCATCCAGCAGAGTTCCTAAATACACATTCGCACGTTTTGTATCACACATGCAAAAGTATATATGTATATACATAGATATGTATGGCGAAGTGTGACAAAGCTCTTTTACGGCTGTTAAGAAAAAAATCTGTCTCTCTACCCTCTGCCCACCTCTGCTATCCTCTGCGTTATGTATCGCTTATTTCCAGGAAAAGTTTACCCCACCTGCTGCTTTTTGATTTGCTTTTCAAACACTTTCGCTGCTCTCACAGGTCCTTAAGTGCAGCGACACACACACACACAGCCATACACACATACGATTTCATTGTTATTTTGTTCTTAATTATTTTTTCCTCGCTTTTCCTTGCCTATATTTAAGACTACCATCTTTTTGCATATATCCTTTATCGATGAAAGCCATCAATTTGAGAGTGTGGGCGCAAGTGATTCTGCTGTAGGTGTGTGTTTTTTTGTGTGACTTTTATGGGTCTACGTTGAAATGTGTAGTTAAATGTATACTTATGCATAGTCAGATTTTTGTATATGAATATGTTTTTAAGGCTCCGTTGAAAATTTATCAATGAGATCAATGAGAACTTTCTTCTTTATTTTTTTTTAATTTTCTACGCAAGGCGCACAAATTCTTCATACTATTATAGAATGCTTTATTTTATTGAGTACATTTGATTTTACGTTAGCGGAAAAAGTACTGCTGTAATAAAAGTGCTCTAAAATCAATGTTTGCAGCTACCAACACTGCGTATGAGTGATATTTTAACGTTTAGTTAAAAAGGCCCTAAAATCGAGCGATTTACATGAATACGATTTTAGTCTTTGATTCTGTACTTATTTGAATCCAAAAATTCTATGCTAAGATACTAGTTATGTGTATAGTGGTAACTGTTCCAAAAAAGAGGTGATACGTGGGCTGAAAATTCTATGGCGTAACAATGAAATAACCTTTTTAATGTCGCTACTTCTTGAGTTATGAGTTTGTGGAATCGGTTCTACAACATTTCAATACCGTTTTGATAGTGTATAGCGTACAGGCCTTCAAAATAGGCGTTTACTTCCATCTTGATCTCCTTATTTCTGTGAAATCTTTCTCCAGTCAAGCATTTTTTGATACAAAATGATCGATGTCCAAATAAAAAAAGGAGTTTCTATCGAGTTCAAAGATTTTTTATTTTTAAAAGTTCGTGATGTGATAATATGACCTGCGCGAAATTCATTTTTATTTAGAAAAGCTCAAAGTGGTGCCAATAACTTGAGAACAATTGGTTGGCATGTTATGAAACTTAGAGATTATTCTACTTAAGGTTGGTACTCTAAAGCAATGCTTAAGATTTGTTTGTTTGTGGCGCGATCTTACCAAAGGTCAAAGATTTTTCAGTCCATACAGTATATATGCATATGTACGCACTCAAAAATATGCCGAAGTTACTCTGAAATCAAGTGAAAAATTTATAAAAAACTAAAATTTTTGTCTCTAGTTACGTTGTTGTCATAAGTAGTAGTGCTAAAGACATTTGTGGATTCTTAATGATGAGAAAATAACAAATGTTTATAGTAAAGAAAATTACGACAGGTATAATTGGTTAGTAGAAATTTAGACAAAGGCAATAGAGAGTCAAAATAATTTGATTATCGGCATTAATTTCGAGCAACATATATATTTATTTAATTGCATACATATCTATTGGATACACACAAAGTCTTTTGTAAAAAATATAATATGTATATAGTATAAGGTATTTTACATATACCTCTAACCCCGAAACAGCAGAAATCACCACAAAATGACAGCCAAAAAATGCAGTAATATGTATGTATGTATATGTTTAATGAAATAAAAAGTGGCAAGTAGATGCAGAAGTGAAAAAATGCAGTGAAACCAAAATGAAACCGAAATCGAATTCAATTCAGGCGACAAGTGCATAAAATGCAAGTGTGAAAACAAGTAGAAGAAGCAGTAAATTTATTAACGAATTCCGCATTTGTGTCAACAGTGCAATGCCTTCAACGAAACAACGTTAACACTTCAACATTCGCGAAAAAAGCATAAATAAACAACAACAATAACACCAAATTAAGCCGTGCAGCGGTTGCAACCGCAAATAATAAATTAAATCGACAACAACAACAAATGCAAGAGAATACATCAAGCATATACAAACATACAAATACAGATAATGCGCCAGTGAGCAAGTTGGACTGGACTGATCGCTCAGAGGCATAGCCCGTAAAGGTCACATTTTCTTCGGGCGTACGTGCAACGCATATTACCACAGGTAAGTGTCGTCAGTCAGCCAGCCAGCTGGTCGATCGACCAAGTTGTTGTTTGCCTATTTGGAATGCAAACCGCAAATATGGTAATGCTGTGACTCAATGCTCTTGCTGTTGCAGTTTCAATACGCTGTTCTGATTGACTGCAAATGAAACACATATAGACAAGAGTCGATAATTTTTTAAACTAAATATAATATTAGCAGCATGAAGTTCATTGGAAAAAATTGTAAATATAAAAAAATTTAAAGAAAAAATAATTTACGTACGATCTGAGGTTGTGAGGTGGAAGGCAAAGAGATAAAAATAAAAAAGCAATAACAAGGTTATTTGAATTTTTTAAATAAATTTTGAGGTTATGCGAAAACTTAGCAAGTGTCAAGACAAAAGTTGTAGATCTTTTTATTACCTATAACTTTGCCTTTTAATTTTTTTCGACACAGTTTAACTCAATTCCAACGACGACTACAGCCTCACTCAATTTCTTCCTTTTCCAACGAGTTTCATCCTACTATTATTTTTTCACTTTTCAACATTTTCAACAACGGCTTCAGCCGTGGTCTAATGTATTTAATAAAAGCTAAGTTAGGTATTTTGATTTACAATATATTAAAATCTGGGATTATCCTATGCAGATATTTCATACCAATTCATGGAGCCTGTTTCTAATCTATTGTTTGATATGAAACACAGCCTCGAGTCTCGAATAATTTGCTTAGTGTGACTCAAAATATACCAATCACTTTAAGTTGACTTATGCTACTTTTACATATCGGCACAAATACCATTTTATCAAATTTGACCCGCATTGGTTAATTTAAACTCCGCGCATAAACTGAATCGATACTTTTATTTCTCGAGAAATGTAAACTTTTTTTTTATGTTTGTGTGAAATTTGATCTCCATATGTCACTTAACGTGTGGTTGGCAGCTGTTTGTTTACAGAGCGAGAAGTTTGTCTGCGAATTTTTTCATGGAAAATCCAATTAAAACACCAAAAGATCTGAATATTTTGCAAAAAAACTTCAAGTATACATAGGTCGTCATGAGATGGTTGACAACGTAGTTGAAGACTCTATATTCATCCATCATTACTGGTGACAAGATGTGAGTTTCTGAATTTGAGGTCGAAATTGTCGAACAATCTAGCGAATGGCGCTCCAAAAATGAGCCAAAACCGAAAAAAACCAAAATTCGTTGAAGGTATTGTAGGCCATCCCAGCCGACTAATAACATGAGTATAGAAAATTGGATTAAATGTTGGGATAGTTGTATTGGCGCAGGAGCTTATTTTAAAAGCGTTTATTAAGATTTGTATTAAAATAAAATCAAATGTTATAGATATATTTATACTAAAAACGCTTGAAGTAAACAATTTGCTTTTGATCAGCTTTTTAGATAAATATCGTTTATGTCCAACTACATTTTTAATATTTTCATTTAACCTGCTCTATGAATTTCCTCTTTCACCACTCTCTACCTTAAATACGCGATATCGAGTAATTTTTGCGGGTTTAGAAACTGGTAATAGTCTTGGGGATACGTTTTTTCTGATATAGTATCCACACTGACGAGAAATAGTGGATTATTTTAACGAAGTCCCTGCAGTTATTTCAAATGTATTACGAATAAGAGCTTTCGAGCCTACAAATAAAAAACGGCTTTTATTCGCTTTAATCATATCGGCAACACAAACGCTTCGTTTACTACTTGGACTCGCTTGATTTGCGGTCGTGGTTCGCTTCAACGGACACTCGTCACTTAGTTGACTTCGGTTTGCAGTGCTACCAACGAGCACAGGCATTTTCAATTAACGCCACCAGCGCATCCATAATTTAATTGATTATTTTGTTCGTCTATAAACCATTACCACTTACCGTTGTTGTGCCGAATGCTGCATCATATGAAATCTCCGGACGTCATTTAACTCAATATCTGCCAAGAGTCCTCGGCAATGTGTGCAGTCGTTAAATATTTACGGTTAATAAGGGGTAGCTGGTAACAACAGCATAAAAATAGTACTTTCACACAACAACAAAACGCATGTGCAACTAACGTTTATGTATGGGTGGGTAACTGTATTTACATACATACACACAGATAGACATAATGAGTGTGCGCTGCAATGTTCGCTTGCTTTATTCAGCTGACTGATTGACAACGTGGCTGACGTGGTGGTCATAGATTTTATACGCTAGTGTTGTAATGCCTACGCTCTAAACCCTCCAACGTGCTAACACGCCTGAAAGGCTACAACGAAATATTACAGTTTAATGCTGCAAGCGTGTTATATTACTTTCGGCCTTTGTTGTTATTGCTGTTATTGTTGCCAGTGATGCTATCGTTATTTAAGTGCCGGCACAATTGCGGCAACTGCCATTGTAGCGGTTTTGCGGTTAAGCTCATTGCTCACTTGCGCGCTGTGCGCCTGTATGTGTCGCATTCTAAATTTACGCTTCACGAGTACACCTACGGATATATGCGAATGTGTTCGTGATGCTGCCGAGACTAATTGACTGATGGTCTATTTTACAGTTCATTTTCATTTAATTTGTGTGAGGGGGAGTTGTTCTACCAATGTAGAGGCACAACGTGCAGTGTATCTAAAACGATCGATCTTTATTGTTTCGGTTGGAACATTTGTTGGCCCAGCTATTTCATTGATGGATGACAATAAGCGCCCATGGCAGGGAATTGGTAGAAAAGCGAACAGTGGCGCCAGGCATTTATCCAGGTAGTTTTTTATGCACACCCATGTGTGGGTAGCCAAAGCAAAGCCAACAATTCCAATCATTTGCGGGATGCCTATGACGTATACTAGCACTGTTCGAATACCACGCACATTTTTCTGGTAATTTCGCCCATTTTTCATTGCGTGCCCCAGCGGGTGCGTGTGGTTGTGCACCTTCGCGCTCGTTATGCTGAATGAGCCGATTGCGTGCGCTTGACCATTGCCTTGCGATTCACATAAATTAGCGCCGGCAGTTTTGTTTAAGTCCAATTTGTAAATTTTCCAGTATTTATCATCTTCCATTCTCGCAGAGTCTTCACTGTACATGTGTTTTTCTGTTTTTCTGCTTTTATACTTATTTTTTGCCATTGACTTTAGTTTTTACTTCTCACTGCCGCTTCGGTATTATTGTTCTGCTTTTCGTCCATTAAATTGCCTGACGCGTTAACGGTATGTAGTTGCCAATAAAACACTTCCGGTTTTGATGTTTTCATTTTGTGTTGGCTATTTTCCATACAACTTTTTATTGACGTTAGACCTTTTCACAATTTTATAAATGGAAATGTTTCGCAGAAAATTAGGTATTTACCTACGCGCCCACACTGACTCTGCCGCATGGAATGCGAAGTACTTGTATATAATAAATAAATAAATAAAAATACAAATAACACTAATATTTAATGGAAGAATTTTTCGCCTTTTTGGTCGGTCATTTTAGTAAAAATTTTAATACGTGAAATTCCATGGATAACAGTTACTAATTTTGTTTTAAAATACAATCTGTAATTGATAATATTTGGTTTTATTGCAATTAGAACACACTGAATTTTTCAAGCAATTTAAAAAAAAATATGTTTACTTCAGTTCACAAATAAAAAAGTTTTCCATACAAGCACTTGATTTTGATCGATCAGTTGGTATGGCAGCTATACGCTATAGTGGTCCGATATCGCTGGTTCCGAGAAATGAAGTGCTTCTTGGGCAGAAAAGAAAGTGTGCAAAATTTCAGAGTGACATCTTAGAAACTGAGGGTCGAGTTCGCGTATGTATATACAGACATTTATTTATATATAAATTTCGTTTCAAACTGCATGACAAACTTTATATGCCCTGTTCAGGGTATAATAGTGGAGCTTTTTTAGATTCAAAGGAAAGTATGCCACCTGTCTAAAAAAAATAAAAGTGCAAGAAATGTAGTTAAGATAAACTCTAATAACTGAAACGACTTGAGCAAGTAAAAATTTGAAAATGATTTTTAAGAAATAATGAAACCTGTTGAGCATTTAGCATAACATACTATCTTTAATTCTCTTTGAAATTAAATCTTTGAGGGGCACACTTAGTGTGACAGCGACGTCTATTTTATGAATATATATATATTTTAAAAATACATAATAAAAGTTTTCAAGTGAAAAATTAAATATTTTTCGTGTTATACGCGGTTGCAGTGATTTCGACCTTTTCCATGGATGCAATCTAAAACAAAATTCTCTACTAGAAGGTATTGTTCGTACAATGGCCTATGGTCGAAAAACAAATCAAAAATTGACAAAATGGCGGCGTTTTAAAAAGTGGAATTTTACCCAAATTTCGATTTGGATACGAAACATAATTAATAAAGGCTAAGAGCAGAGCTACTATTTTTAGAGTCGTCTCATAAAGTGAATATGAAGAAAAGAGTAAATCAAAACTATGCCCTAATTAAAATTTTTCGTGTATTTTTTGCCAATACCCACTAGTTATTGGAGGGCTATAAGATAATTGAAAAGCCAAAAGAAAATTGAATGAATGTATTTTCTGTCTGCTCACTCTAAAGTTCGACAGCTCGCATATTGAACAACTTGGCTATTAGTGATTCGCATTTCATGCAAACCGTTAGTATTCATCTATAACTGTACATATGTATGTACATATGTATACATTGACTCACTCAATTACTTGCGGTGTTCTTATACTCAGGCAATAGAGGAATCTTAATGAATTGCTGCTGAGATGGCCGAGCGCAAAGAGCAAAGCTGGAGAGGAATTGAGGACGTAAGGGGAGATTTATACATTTGTCATGTCAAAATGCAAATTGTTTGCCGCAACGTATTTTTTGCGTGAAATTTTTCATTTTTCACCCAAACGGCCAACAAAAACGGAATGAAGAGGAGCAGCTACATAAATAACTAATAAATGTTTGTTGTAGTTGGTGGATTTCATTTGTCGTAGTAGATTGGAATATAAACGCAGAAAAGCTATCTTGAATTTATTGGCGGCTGTCTTCTCTGGATT